GTCAATTGTAAGAGTGCCCAGAGAGAAGAGCAAGATGAAACTCTCTTAAGCAATTAGTTAAGGTAAGAACTATGACAGCTGTTTTCAGGAAGGTATATTTGTCTACAGAATCACAAAGTCACAGAGTCACAGAATCACTGAGTTTGGAAGGGCCCCTGAAGGTCAGCTGGCCCAAGCCCTTGCTCTAGCAGAGTCATCTAGAGCTGGTGGCCCAGAACTGTGTCCAGACAACTTCTCACTATTTCCAAGGATGTAGATTTCACAACCTCTTTGTGCAACCTGTGCCATTGTTTGGTCACCCTCACAATTGAAAAGTGTTTCCTGACGTTCAGATGGAAATTACTGTTCAATTTGTGCTCGCTGCTACTTGCTTTGTCACTGGACATCATTTTATTTAAACTCTCCTTTCAGGTATTTATAGACATTGATGAGATCCTTCAAGCCTTCTCTTCTCCAGGCTAGATGGCCCCAGCTGTCTCAGCTTTTTCTCATGGGAGATAAAGCTCTTAATTATCTTAGTGGCCCTCAGCATATTAGTAGCTACCTCAGCATCTGTGGGTGCAAACGCACCAGACCCTATGGACTTATATCTCTATTTTTTTTTCTTCAGGCTTACATTGCCTGTGCTTCTTCATCTAAAGTCAGGTTTCTAGTCATCTTTGACTTCATTCTGCTCTGCCTGCATCTCTTGCATAGGCATCCATGCTCAGAAATTACTTCCATCAAAAATTTATTCGCCCTTATAATTCAGACTTCAGACTCATCTCGCACTTTTTTTGACTTGGGTCATGGCACATACCTGCTTTGATATGGAGAACAGCATGTTTAATAGAAGAGTTTGACTGTTTATTACAACGATCATAAATCAAAACTGGATTTTAAGCTCACTGACTTAGGTGACAATTCCTCTATTACAGAGTGCTTCTCCTTTTGTGCGTCTATGATACCCGTTCATAAAAGAACTCATTTTCTGAGCCCACTAAATGATGAATCTGTAAGTCTTGTGAAAGAAATAGCTAAACAATCTCCTGAAAGCTACATGAATAATGACTTGTCATGGATAAAAAGTAGCGTAGCATGAAAAGATGCCACTAGTAACAAATAAAAGAATTAAAACATTTAAATTTAAGCCTAGAACAATGAAATTGTTTTAGAAAAAGTTATAGTACCTTTAGATTTTCCACCTTTAAGGTTTGTATTGTCAGACTCACTACACATTTATTTAAATATATGCAGTAACGTAATGGCTCATAATGTTCTTTCCTTTTTTTTTTTTTTAAAGAAAAGGTCTTAGTCAAGATCTAGACTTGTATTAGTCAAGGGGCACAACAGCATTAATCAAGCAGTACTAACTTTAAGTAGTAAACCCATGCTGGTCTCTCTAAATGCAAGCACTGCCAAGTTACTGTCTCAACACAGCACTTCACATAACAGACTGCTGGCATTTACATGTTTTTGAATTCATATAATAAAAAGAGAGTTTTCTGTTCTTGTAAAATTAAAAAACTTCTTTATAAATCTGTCTAGTATAATAGTTTGTTATGCGCAGTTAAATAATTTCTCAGACATACTCATTCCAAACTGAAGAGATGTTCTGTAGCAATTTTATGCACTTATATTTAACATCCTTATGACAAAAGTAAACAAACAAAAAATAATTGTGGTACTGTTCATCCTCAAAAAAAAGAATTAGAGAAATATGAAGATACTTGTTAAAATGCTAAAGGGGGCAGACAAGGGATCTACTTTATATGTCCCATGGTGAATCTTTAAGGTCACCAAACTGCAAGTGCATATCTAATAAATAACGCTCCAGGAAGGGCATAAGAAAGCCAATGTTGCTAACACTGGGATAAGGTCAGTTAGCAAAATCAAATAATCATACTTCAAAAAGTTAATGTCATGTTTTAGAGAAGAACACGAAATTTTCTTTCAAATGCTAGCAGGCTAAATGCAAAATACTGTAAAACAAGCTCAAAAGCAGCAGAGGAACAACTTGCGAAAAACAGAAACTAACAATCCCATTTCAAATGCAACAAAACAAGGAATGCTGCCAGAGTCTATAAGACTAGTAGATAAATCAGAACATACAAGGAGCACGTAGAGAAGATAAAGCCATAACCCCAGACTGAATGATGTTCTGTTTCTATGCTCTTTTGTAGAAGAGCTTGAAGAGGTTCTCAGGTTTATATTCTTCATGGACAGATAAATTCAACTTTAGAAAAATAACCAGTCAAAATCTTACTTACTTATTGATTGCTATAGAAGAACTGGTGACTGTTGTGTACTTCTCAATTAACACCCTTTTGTACCAGATTAATTAATATTATGCTAATATTTAACAGAGATTCTAGGGAAAAAATAAGGAATTTCAGATACTACAGATTACAGAATCCAAAATAAAAGACTGCAGTTTTGGCTCTGATAACTGTAGCAGGTACATTAATAGAAACCACTATAAAGAATAAAATTAATGAATGTATTCTCTTTGGAGGAAGAATCAAAACTGCTTTTTTGAAAGACAGATATTCCTCATATGTTTTTGAAGTCTTCTGAAGCTGTCAACAGAATTTTAGATATAGTTTACTTGGATTTTCAAACCAGCCTTTAGCACAGCCTTATTATGCAAAAACATAGAGAAGAAAGAAAGCAGTTTTTCACATCCAGAAGGAAACTTCCAAAAATCATTGCCAGGAGGTTGGGGAGGCACACAGGATTATACAAATTTAGGGGCTAAATGCCTGTAAACATATGTCAAAGGAAACAGTCCTCTTACAGATGTCCTCTGATGTGACAAAAGTGAGTAGCAGAGGAAACTACAGAGAGGGTTAGACCATAGAAGGTAGTGAGGTTCATGTGCTCTCTCTAAATATCATCTTCTGTTGTCACTGATGAACACAGTATGCTGGGCCAAATGGACCATCAGGGTGTTTTTTTTATGTTCCTATTTGAACATCGTGACAAATATGTGCACACAAATCTTAGGGTTCTCCCTACTCTAAAGCGAGTTGTAGCAAAAAAAAACCACCCTAATGCACCCATCTAGTCTGGAAATCAAAATGCACAGGGAATAGACTTTACTGAGCTGACAGTTCATTGCACTGGTAAATTAGTAACCTTCTCGGTTGGGAGTGGTGGGATTTTGATGGTTTGGATCTTTTTCAGCAAAGACATACACAATACAGGAATCTTGGCATACATGTCTGCTTACATGCTTTCTGTAACAGTCTTTAGTATCTCACTTTTTGTACCAAACACGTCTCAGCTTGATGAGGATGAGAAAGCTGCATATTAATCATTGGCATAAGCCTTTTTTCATATGCTTATGTGAAAGAGTTACAATATTTGTGTAATGCTACAGCTGATAATATAGCTGTGTGCATACAGCTTTCTGAAGCACTGGAAGCATCTGCTTCAATTACAACATTAAACCAATATAGGCATAGATAGCATGTGCTGTTTGCTGCCTATCTACTTTCTCAGTTGTTATATGCATGGTTAGCATGGCCTTTAGAACCAGTGGTGTGCTCAGTATGTCCGCCTCAGGTGTTGGCATCAGTTTCCACTGGAACACTGTGTTTGTAGCAAGCCAGATGTGCTCACACTCAGCATAGATGCAAATACACTTCTCGTACCAGTCACATCCAGGACCTATTCCTTACCCCCTCATCTGCTCTGTGATGACCTTAGAGAGGCTACTAGGGCAGGAAAAGAAATTTGCTCATGGATGAATTCTGTTGAGTCTGTGGAGCACCAAGCCCACTGCCAGGTGCAAAACTGAGAGAAAATCCCCCAGAGAGCTCAGGAAAATTCAGGGCCTGTCTCCCAGAGACCACCATAAGCAGGAGACTTAAGCATAAGACTGAATAGAAGCCCTGACCCTCACCCTGCAGTTAGACCTGTCAACACAAACTGATCATGCTGCAGTTTGCAGAGGAAAGGCCGGGACAATGGCCAGGCACTGGAAGCCAGAGAAGACACAAAGGCCAGCAGTGATTGCCTGGGCTGCTGGTGGATGCTGCCAGTGTGGAGGGCCTGGCTTACTCCTGAAGTGTGTTGTAATCATATGCCATTCAAGCATGCCTGATTTATTGTGAGCAAATGAAACAGTCCTGCAAGACAGGAATGAAGGTGGATAGTATGGATCCATGCCTTATTACTGTACTCAAAGGCCAGTGGTCGCTGCCTGGAATGGATCCCAGAGGCAGTACACACACACATGTATTAAAAAACCCAATGCATTGAGTTTACTCTGGGCTTGAGTGCTCATCTACAGGTGAATTGCATTCAAACATCCCAGTGATTCTGAGACTACTGCAAGTTCTGCCCAGGTTTCAGAGGCCTGGGTGACATTACCGGTGATCACTCAGAACTCTTTATCCCTTTTCTCTCTTCAAGGCCAGCACTCCAATATTTGGCTGTTTTTACTGCACAGAAGGGTAATGGATACAACATCTGGGAACAGGGAGATGCGTGGCCTAAAGAAACAAGAAAAAGTCAAGAGGCAGGAAAGGAGATGCCTCCCGAGTAAGAACCATCTGCTCTCAGTAGCTCACACGCCTTTTCCCAGCTGATCAGCCAGGTGCCGTCTCCTCGGAACTGGAACAGCCTCGCCTGCTTTGCCAGGGCAACAACTTTTGTTTCTGCTCTCCGCGATCGTTTACCTGACGTGTTTGTAAACACCAGCGCGTATTTGGTAAAGGTTTAGAGTTTAACAACTTTAATAAACGCCACGACAGGTCCTCCACCACCGCCACTCATCCCCCCCGCAGGCCCTCCGGTTTCCCCGCAGGGCGAGGTCCGCCCTTCCCTCTCCGCGCTGCCGGCGCCGCCGCCGCAAAGCCTCTCGGGCGCTGGAGTCCTGCACCCCGCCTGTCCCACGGCGGGGCTGCGCCTTCTGGACTCCCTGTCCCACGGAGCCTTGCGAGGAACCCGACGCCGGACGGCGGCTGCGGCAGCGGGCAGCAGGGCGGCTAGTTCAAGTTGCCATAGCGGCGAGGTGAGACGGGCGGGAGGTGCCCGGGAAGCGGGGTGGCCTCGCCTCGGGGCGCCGTGCGGTGAGAGCCGGGGGCGCGGGACGGACAGAGTCGGGACTGCGGCCAGGGCGGCTGTGCGGGACGGGGCTGTGCGGGACGGGGCTGTGCGGGACGGGGCTGTGCGGGACGGGGCTGTGCGGGTGCGGAGCGCCGCGGGAGGGCGGGCGCGGGTTGGAGCGGCGCCGGGCGGGAGCGGCGGCGAGAGGCGCGGGGAGCGGGGCCGCGGGGGCTCCTCGGGACAGCCCGGGACAGCCCGCGGGCCTGGCGGGGTCCCGGCCGCCGGCGTGCTCGGAGCCGTGCTGGAGTGCCCCGCGGCCCCAAGGCCGTGGTGCTGAGGAGCGGAGCGCGGTGTCACTAACTGATAATAAAATGTGGTACAGATGCCTGAAAGCACGATGGCGAACTGTCACCAGTGGGATCGTCTTCCTGGCTTTTTGAAAACTCCTCCTGGCTCAAATTGAAAGAAAGGGCCTTTCAGGTGTTATCTATAAGTCTTAGCTATAAAGCTTCAAACCTACCTTTAACAGTAAGTCAGTTACCTAGTGATATATTAGTCTGTGTAGAGCTGGACAAATAAAAACACTTGAGGAGTAATCAGGTGACTTTATCTGTGGTTTACCTGAGCTGGAGAACTTGCTGTTAAGACCGTCAGGTCTGCTTCGTGTTTGTTTTACCCTGAGAGTCCTCAGTAAAAATGAAATGCCCTATTTTCTGCAGGAAAGAAAAGTATCGAGTACTGATGCTTTTCATCAGTTCAAGAAAAGTTATGATCTGTTTGGGTAGAACTAAAACCCAATAAGTTGTATGATTATGTGCTAAAATTAGTCAAGGTTTTTGGGAAAAGTGATAAGCTTCTTTTTTGTTTAAATTAATAGGCAATGTGCATATGGAACATTTGTACAAATTTCTATTCCTTTATGATTTTTTTTTTAAATCTAAAATGAAACTTCTGTATTTCCTTTTAAAATGAGGATGTTGCTTTATATGAAACAGAACTTCATCAACTTAAAAGTACTTGTGGTTCCTTTTAGGTTGCTCATGAGAATAAAAAGGAATGCTACTTAATCACAAATAGTAAGTTTTCTTGAGACAAAATGTCCTCCTTGTTCAGTGCTTTCTTTTATGTTTACCTTGCTTACTGGCCTTTCTTCAGTGCTTTACCTAGTAAGTATCTTAATGAACCTATTTTTGGTCAGCTGAAAATGAACCAGTTAATCTTTCCTGTTGTAAATCTTCATTTCCCTTTTTTTTTTTCTCTAGTGTCTTTACTTTTCAGTAGTTGGGGCTCTTATGGTTGAGTCAACTTCTTTGTTGGTTTTTGTAATTTTTTTTAAAACCAAATTATGGTAAAAATCAGTATTATTCCATGTTGTTATTTCTACCAGTGTTTTATTTATTTTATTTTTCTTCGTCTTTGAAAATATCCCATATTTCCTGTTTCCCAGTGTTTAGTATTTATGCTTACTCAGCATCATTAAGACTTCATTGCAGCTGACTAGAGTGAGAGGCACTGGAATAGTGAATTCTGATACTGTCAGAAAAATGTGCTTTAGTGACATAAGAAGATGGAAGATGAGATAAATTCACCACTTCAGAAAATGTAAGGAATACTGGTGTACTTGAGCATAGACTGAGCATGTTGATTTACTCTTCCTTCGTGTTTGAAAGGTTTCTATCCAAGTCTGGGGGGACAGAAATATACAACCTTTTAAAAACTAAATATAAGGATCTGGAAAAAGTTGCCTCCATATAAAATACAGTATAAACTTTGGATCCATCCATGGTTTCTTTTGGAAATTTCAGCTCTAATGGCTAGAAGAATGATACCTTTATTTTCTTTTTGGTGGTATTGTTGACTACAGGACTAAAGGGGTTTCAAGAGTATGGCAGTCTGTTTCCTCTTCCCTTAAGTAGCCTCAGACTGTCTCCCAACACAGGATATTAACACAGATTTTGTGAATGTGATTCCATGACCTTTAGGCAAACTGCTGCAGTGTGTAGTAGTCTAAGAAAATATTTCTATCTAACCTACTTTTTGAGGGTTGTTATTACTATGTGACTTTACTATACTAGGCATAACTGTTTGCATTTCCCTCCTCTATCTTGCCATACTTGAGACTTATCAATCTCCATTCTGTCCTTACAAGCTGTATTTCTACTGCCTCAAGTAATTTTTGAAGTCAAGTGAAGTGCCTCAGCATCAATATAATAATCTGGGTTATGTCAAATTAACATTGGAGAATAGAAAGAATATTTTACAATTCACAACATTACCCTTATTTTTACAACTTGTGTGGTGTTAGCTTTTTCTTTCTAGAAGATGATGCTGTTGATGCATATTCAACTAGAAGCTTTCCCCTCCGTACCTCTTTCTTCTACCAACTTCAGTTTTTCTAGCTGTATTTGTCCAGTGCAGCTGTATTTGTGTCAGCTGCAGACTTAATCAACTTATTATATTACATTATCAGGTCACTTAATGAAAAGATACAGTGGATTCACTCTAGGTTCTTGCTTGATACCTCTGGGATTCGACAATTTCTGTTAACTGCTCTATGAGTTCTGATACTTAGCCAGTTTTAGGAAAGCTTGCTTAGTTCGTTTTACTTCAGCTTACTTTTGTGATTGTCATGTGTGTTCCAGACTTAAAGAAAAAAAAAAGACCTCTACTGCTTCTTCCCTGTTTAACAAATTTACTCATTACCAGATTGATTTATTTGATATCAACACATACACTGTTATTGTAAGTTTTTTGAGAACAGATCTTTTGTTGAAAACTTAAAATAGCCCATTTTAATTTTTTCCACATATTTAAATTGATTAATCTATAACTTCCTGGCCACAGTTTTCTTTCCTTTCCCTTCTATTTAAAACACTTCCTTCCCCTGTAGTATTTCTGGTTCTCCTTGAGTCATTAAGATACTGATTCCTAGACTTGCTTAAGACAGTTACTTGGGGTTGTTTGTCTTAGCTGGCCCTGGGCAACCTGAATAGAGCTTAGCAATAGTATGAGGTAAAGGGGAATGGCTCTGCAGACTCGAACAATTGATAAAGCATTGATATCTCCACTGTATGTTCTGGGGGGAGAATTTGCTTGGGGCCATGATCTTGCCATGGGTACTGAACACTTGGAAGTATTGAGAGTGCATCTTTTGATTTAATTTGCTCCTAAGAGGCTCTGCCTTTTGCTTTGTGATGTGAATGAAGATAATAAGGAGCAGTTGGAAGATCTGCTTCAAAAATACATCCTGCTGACCCAAATTAGAAAGGCTAATGGAAATGTAGTCTGAGTCTATGAAGTTGCTTTGGAATTATTGTGCAAGACTGTTCAGTTACAATGAGGATTTAACATACATTACTTTTTCTGGTCTTCCTACTTAGATTGCAAGATCCTAATGGCAAATTCATCCAGTGATTCAGACAACTTTCTTACGGGTCGAACAGGAAGACGGCTGCCTTTGAGAGCATCCTACAACAGAGCTCAGAACTATGGTGCTGAAGCAGTTACAGAGAAAATCCATACTTTAGCAAGCACTTTACAGGTTGTTTACAAAACACAGTTTTAAAGTATTTATAGAGTCTGCATTTCTGTAACGTAGGACCAAGTTTTCATTTCTAAAGTTGTGGAGTATACTGTATAGATGAGAAACATTGCCTTCTGTGCAAACCAAAAAGGTTTTGGAACATTGATTGTACTGCTTTTGAGCTGAAAGTGTGTAGCTTGTTACACTTTTATACAGCTGTTATTTCAGACAGTAATAGAATGTTGTTAGAAACAACTACATTTTGGGTAATACCTTTATAACGTTAGCAAAGTGAATAAGACCAAATAAGATTTTTCAGATTCTCCCAAAAGGCAATACATTTTTAGCAGAAATTTCCAGCCCTGTCTTGGTTGCGTTGTACTGTGTAAAATTTCCAAATTTCTGATAAAGTAAATATGTAGGCAGTCAATTCCTTCATCATAGAGATTACATTTCAAATATCTTCTAGATGTGGAACAGTACAGTAAGAAGCATTATTTCTAAACTTGTAAGAGATACATACCTGAGCAAGAAAGAGTGTTCATCTAATTCCTGCTGCTTCAGTGGATGCAGTGGAGGGAATATCTGAATCTGTTTTGCAAGTGGGAGGAGACGCTTAGCTATCCTGACAGCATTATTGCTTGAGAAGTCATTCCCAATCTTCTCTAGCTGACAGTTCTGAATACCCAAAGTGGGTGGGCATATGTTTTATCACTTATTGCTTGGCCAGGAATATTTTTTCCCTTTAATATGCAGGAAGAGAAAAATCAATAAACCTCAAAACTTCTTAGGTGGAAAATAAACATCAATCTAGAAAAAGAAATGAGTTAATAAGAATGTAATCTGAATATTTTTAAATATTTGGTATTCTTTGGTATTCTGATTCTGTCTAACCTCTTTCTAGGTGCTCTTCTGAAATTCTGATTTTAAGCTAATTGCTTTTTGTTGACTGCTTTTCAGCAGATCTGCCATCTGATCCAGCTGTTCATCTGATCAGAAAGTGCTCATGCAGGCACCTTACCTAGTGTGTTCATCTTAAAAAACTTGTTATTTCTTAGTTAACTAATTTTGTTCTATACGCAGGTAAAATTAAGATCTTTGGGTTAAAAAGGTTTTTCTACAGAGTTGCTGAAACTTGAAAAAGTTTTTATTTGAAGCTGAGGCCTTACTGTTGTACTGAAATTATAGTGTGGGTGGGTTTTTTTTTCTTCTTCCCTTTAGCCATGCTGTACCACTTCAGATTGTGGTTACTTGAATAGGATTTTGAATGCATAGACCATTTAAAAAGCACTTGTCTTATCAATTTAATCTGAGAAACCAAGAATAATAAAGGCAACAGTAAAGTTTGATTAGAGGAGGTTTCTGTTTTGACTTTTTTCTAAAACTTTTTTATTTAAGGATACCAACAGAAATCTGAGACATGTTGACCATTTGCTAGGACAGTACAGAGAATATAACAAGGAACAAACCGAAGCAATAACAACGGTGAGCAGCTTTCAATTTATCTTAACTTCTTTAGTCTTTTCCATTAATAAAATTCATAGCTGAAAACTTAGTAGTAATGGACAGAATATATAAGGAGTTAAGTAGCTGTAAACAGAACCTTTGCATATTTATTTGAGCAATCTAAATCAAAATATAGTAATGTGTTATGTAATGGAACTTGCTGACAGGTTTTGTAGCTTCAGTATTTTTCTGGTTTATGAGACCCAATAGATTGTTATGTTATGGTACTATGCCAAGCACAAGATGGATAGCTAAAATAGAGTATTGGTGGAGCAAGAGAGGTTTAAAACTTGATTACAAACAAACTGTAGCTGGTGCTTCCTTGAAACAGACACATATGAAATGTAGGAATATTTTACATATGAAGGTAGAGAGAAAGAGTGAAGAAGGCTTGCGTTTCTCAGAGAAAGAGATCCAACATGGTGTGTATAATTCTAAAGCATCAATTTAACCATTGTGTATAAGCTTCTCTTAGAAAGAGAACCTTCAGAAACTGATGTTTTATGGATTGTCAAATAAAGGTGTGACAAAGCAAGTGGCTAAGAACCAAAGTCAGTAAATACAATTGTAGAAAATGAGATGCAAGTTTGAAGAATGAGGAACTTATTTACAACTATAGTTACTTCTGTATTCTTAAGTTGGCAATGGCTGCCTTTTCCTGGAAGTAAAACTACTAAAAGTAGGGATTGCTGTAAAGCTGCTTAGGGAAATTTGATAGCCATATGTAAAATTGATTCCAGGTGTAGGGCTGGTAGAACAATTCCAGTAAAAAATAATTTGAAGTTATTTTCTGGATTCTACAGGGCTCTTATTGAGCATTGCTGGCAAATAGGTCTTATTTTGGTTGCAGGAGACAAACTTTTCTTTTGGGTTTTCATTATGGTGCACCATGTGCACCATCGGATTTAAGAAACTTGATATTTGAAGCTACCAATGTTGGAAACATGTTTTGCTATAATTATGATACAGGAATATGATATATGAGATGTTGAAGAAAAGTTATTATTAATTCATAGCTGTACTTGGCTTAAAAATAATTTCGATTCTCTTAATGACTTTTAAAATAAATACTATTTTCCAGTTTTTGTAAGAAATGAGTCTATGTTCATATTTCAATAAATTATAACTTTTCTGCAGTTAAAAGAAACACTGGAACAATCTATAGGTCAATTAAGGAGCCAGCGACTAACACGAAACTCTGGAATGAGAAGTGCATCTCTCTCAAGCTTATATCCTAGTGATCTGGATGGAGAAGGACCGTCAGGTAAAATACTTAAACTGCTGGAATATACTTAAATTAGGTCATATAGCTGTGGTATAGAAAGAAGAAATTAAGAAAAAAAAAGTGTAAGAGATAGGGGCATGAAAAGTCATCATTGATTACTTTAAAGAAATTCAGTTTAGAAATTTGGGAGACCTGCATTAATTTACACTGTTGTTTATTTGGTAAATTCTTCTAGCTTTCTGTTACATAGTATTTTCTGCTGATATCCCAAGATATCTAAATGAAACGTTGATTCTTTCAGCTGAGAAGATCCTATGTCCACTGCATGAGTTTTAGGTACATACAAGTTAAAGCTAAAGCCAAAAGATATGGCAGCTTCTGAAGCTTGCTTCACAGCAAAAAGGGGAATTTAAATTTTAAATACATGAGTTTATGGATGTAGATGAAATTATGTAAGGCTCAGTGAAAAAGGAAAAAACAGAACCAATTTATCAACTACAGAAAAGTAGGTTTTTTTCTTGTTTGCCTCTGAAAATTTATTGTATTTTAAGAAAAGATGTGTTTTGGAGGAGTATTCCTCCCAGAACTAGTGTTTAATGTATTTTAGTAGAAAGCTCTATAACTTTCATTCCTATGTAAAAGCTGTGAAGTACAGCAGTTTGAAGCTCTAATAGATTCACGTGAAGGAAAAGTCGTTGCTAGCACAAATAAAATTTGAGGAAACAACTTCTTCCTCCTTGGAGAAACAAAGGAAACCTCTTTCTGGAATACATGTATGTCATAGGTAAGAAATGTTTACATGAAGAAGAATCCTGAGAAGAGCTAAAGGCGTATGCTTGTGCATATTATTTAATTTAATAGTTTTTTTTCTGTAATGTGGTCTATAAAGATATTGGCAAGAGGAAACACGCATTTTTCTTGAAGCAAAATGAAAAATTTCCAGTACAAAGTTTTGTCTTCCTACTTATTTTTTTTTATCTCTTGTCTCATAAAGGGAACCGCCACTTCCTGCCTACTTCTCCTCTCAGGGATTACGGAGACTCACAGGGCAATAAACATCGAAGGTCTAGATCTGCAAGTGTGCGATTTGTCAATGAGACAGATAATTGGGACCAGGTACAGAGCACTAATGGGAATTGTTTCCCCAAATAGGCAATCTGTCCCCTTTTATTCCCATTCTGATTCCTTCTAGCTAAGGTAATTTTGAAAATGTGCTGTGTTTTTTCAAAGTTTCCTAGGTCAGGTTGAAATTTCTGATTAATCACACAGGGGACGTGGTAGAGCCCATGTCTGAATGTTCAGGGTAGGCAGCTGGGTTGTGGAAGATCCAGGTTTAAATCTTAGGCACAAAACAAATGGATATTATAAATCAGGGTTTTGTATAACAATGGTCCTGGCCATGGAACTGTTGACAGCAATAGTTTGGTTTATGATGGATTAATTGTCACTTTTTATCCCATGAAGAATGGATGACCTGTTACTTTTTTTATTTGTTCCCTTAAAACTTTGACTATAAATTGGGAGCCTGCTGAATGAGAGAAATGGGAGATTTTACAGAGGAAAATAGGCATGTGTTTTTGTTTTTGTTTTTTTCAAGCTCTGATAGAAAGAGTATGTAAAGTCTTGGGCAAGGTAAAATACCTATTCTTGATGTTTCGGTAGTTCCTGAAGACATCACAGTGTTCTGCTCGTTCACTTTCAATTTCATATGTCATCTATTTATAGTAACATATATAGCTGGACAGAACTTTGTTTCACCTATACTAGCATTTGTTAGCACGAAGGGTGTCTCTCCTGACTTCATCTGTTCAGATCTTTCTACTTGCTTTGCATTAGGTTTAAAAGTAGGTGCAATGTCCAAGCTCTGAACTACAGAAAAAAAACATAGTTGGGAAACTTGGTTTAGCAAATAAGTTACTGAAAGTTAAACTTCAATGAGAATGTGTTGTGAAGGGTTGAATAAAAGTGTGCAAACCTCATCCAGGCTCAGCTATAATTAATGGAATGTTATTATTTTGTATTTTATTTTTATCTGCTTTATTTTAGAAAGCGTGTATATATATATTATGTATGTATATATACGTAGATATTTTGGAATATCACAGCAAAAAAGGGTTTCTAAGCCTTGGATTAACTTGTGTATTTTAATTTACAGCTGCATTCTTTCCATCAGTCTCTTCGAGATCTCAGCAGTGAACAAGTTCGCCTAGGAGATGACATCAGTCGGGAGCTTTCAAGGAGAAATCGGTATAAACAGAATATAACTCCGTGTGAAGGATAGTGTGGAAAATAATTCTTAAACCCTTCTTTATTTCAAAAAATAACTTTGGGGAGAGTGAGGGATTGCACAACGCCTAGATGAAAGCAGTATTATCAACTGCTTAATTTATGTAATTTTTTGCAGTATTTTTAAGTGTAAATATCACCCGTCAATTCCAGTTTGTATAGTATATGTTGCTTTCCTCACATTTTTTAATATATGGAGAAATCAACTAGGACTTGGGAATTTCTTTTATTACAGCTTTGCTCCTTATTTGTTCTTGGTACTGGAGTCCCTTGAGGGCAAGCTCTCATGCAGCCCATAAAGTACATACTTTCTCAACATATGGTGCTTTATTGAATAGGAATAACAGGAATTAGACTGTTAATTCCTAGTAGGAAACTATTGTTCAGAAGGACTGTGTAGATGTGTCCATAATTTTTTACTTGTTGACCTGATACCTAGCTGATGCTAGATGCTCTGTTGCTTTACTTGAGGAATGGAAATGCTTTTTATCATGAATTTTCCACTTGAGGCTTGTCTCTAATTTTGCTAGGAATTTAGAGGCTGTAGAAAAAACTGAAGTAGCATAAAATTCCAGGAGGTTGTTGCTGCTTAAAATTATTATGGTTATTTAGTTTTTGCACTGTAGAATATTGCTTTACTTGTATTTTTCTATGAAGGACTGATGCTGAATTAAGAAAGACTCTAGAAGAATTGTCTGAAAAGCTCACTGAGTCCCAAAGACAAGAAACGGTGAGTGTGACTAATATGAAAAGATTATTTCTATTTAGTATTCTAAGCAGGATGTGGGCTTCTAGTTTAATGTGTGTGTTGGTAATCGGTATCACATATTGGTGTGTATATCTGAACATGATGTTATTAAGGCTACTATAGGTTGTTGTGATATTACCTTTCCATAGTGAAATTAGCAAGACAAGTTTTATATTTCAGGCACTTGTTTCAAGTAAAAGTGGGTGTATGTTATGGATTTTTCTGTTTCAATATTCACAGCCTTGGAGAGATCTGCTTTTTAACTTTGAACATCGATTTGAATGCTGTTATACTTGTTGAAGCTACCTTTGGAAAGATAAAAGTTTTCCCATGTTATGTTGATAAATACTATTGTTTCTTCTTCCTCCCTACCTCCCTCCCCGTCTTTTTCAATCCTTACCATCTGTGTTGCAAAATGGAAGGAGTCTGTTTGGGCTGCACTCTTTCTGTTCTGCTGCTTTACCAGTGCTCTCCGATACAAGGTGCAAATCCTTTGCCCTTGTTCAAAGCCTATGGATCTATTACCCGATGAGGCTGGCAGACTGAATGAGATGAAGTAAATGCAAAAGAGGGGAATTTAGTATGGACATTAGGAATAAAAATAACTCTAATGGTGTGCATAGCAAAGCATGAGATTAGATGCATGTAGAAACCATGGGCTGTTATTGTAGGTGTTTGAGATCCTTTAGTACGTGTTTGTGTTTAAGAATTCTTCTAATGAGATTGCTTAATTCAGAATTGATATGTCCTTGGTGAAAGTGGGTTGGGTAAGAGTAAACACTGTTTTCCTCAAAATTTCCTTATGCAAAGTTGTTCAGGAACTTTTGTCTTTAGTGCCTTTGTAACTGCGCTTTGGAGTGTTTATCACCTCCAGCATTGCCATTCTTGTATTTATATTCTGCTGATTCTTGGCAATAAATTGTCAACTTGAAATCTTGATAATTTCACAGGATAAGCTCATGGTAGAAACATTCAGTTTAGTGTCCTTAAATCTTTGCTTTTGTAGAGACATATATCTAAATTCTTACAGCTGTACTCGTTGGTATATTTGGTGCTGTTTGAAAATTGCCTGTGTGTAGTTAGATGTGTGATGATAAAGGTCTAGTCACTACAGTTCTTCTGAGTCACTAGTTCAGAATTTATTTTTATTAGAGTTTATGATTCTTAGAGCCTTTTTGATGCTGAATTTGAATACTTTAAGACCCACGCAACACTATGAATGCACATTAACTTTACCTGTAAAGAGAGCTTTTCCACCCAATATAAAAACCAGACGGTGTCTAGGGTGGTGACACAGGCATAGTTTCATGTCAAGCACTCTTCATGGCCTTGTACTTGAGAATCTATGTGCAGTTTTGGTATAAAGACTTACAGGTCCTATAGCTCTCTCTATATTAAAATCTCTTTCTTAACAAGACATTTTGTGAGATTTCTTTTTTCTTGAAAAGTGTTTGGAAGTTTGCTAGAGGAACGTCCATAAGCAATGAGACAAATACTTAATTTATGGTTATATAAGATAGCCCTCTTGGATATTTTGTTGCAATCTCTTGGATAGAAGTACATCCCAAATAACACAAGATGCTGATCTTTATACATAAAATTAAGTAGATGCTTACTTGAGATGGTGCCATTAGAAAGTGGTTGTAGGCTGTGTCTCTGGAAAAAGACAGCAATGTCAAGTGAAATGGGACTTACCTGGAGTTACTGTGGTTACAGTATCTCAGAGAGCAAGGCTTATTGTCGGATAAGGAACTGCCCTTCAGAAGATCTGATATAAGGATTTTTGGTACTGCACAGGTGACTTGTAAAAGGTGTAACACAGGTTAGCATTTACCATGAGGGAAAAGTTTAACAATATTTAAAGTGACAGTGAAAAAATTTGCTGTTTTTGTGATTTTAATACTCCTGTTTTAAGTATGCATTGGTGATAAACTGGGTCATACAAGAAAGGCAGCAAATATCTGTTGAAATAGATTTCAATTAGCAGGACTTGTGCACTAGAAATAACAGTACAAAGCTGAAAAACAGGAGAGAAATTCAAGAAGTAGGATGCTCCTTGTTGAATAGTAAACATCCAGCATCTTCCACAAGATTATATTTAGCTGCATGACTTAAATGTCACCCTTGTTTTAAAAAGGACACTCTATTCTTTGTGTTTAATTGCGAGGGGGGGGAAATTTTTGATAGCCTAATCCATTTTCATAGATTTGGCTGCTACCTGAAAACTGTGTGGAGACATAGCTCTAGTGTCATCATCATCATTCACATGGTCTATGTTGCTAAAAATGCATGCTTGAAATCACATTCTAATATGTTCTGAATGCAGTAATTTAGTGCTAGTATTTTATGTCGTTCTTTGTACTGTTCTTCAGCGAATCACTTGTCTACACTAAGATTTTTTATTAGATTCAGAGGTCAAGATACATACTGTCATAGTACAAATCTTGTCCTAAGTCAAGGTCATTTGGGACAAAGGAAGACAAGCGAGTTTTAGAGTTTGTTCTGCATGTACTATATAATGAGTTAACACTTACTGTTTCTAATTTTTCTCTTTTTAATCCCTGTTGTTGTATGTTACAGGCTCTGTGACAAACTGAGGAAGGTCAGAGAGGCTACAAAAGCAGGGAACATAATTCTTGTGGGAGATAACACCTTGCTAAAGTGCCAATATACCCATGCATGGTGTGGGAAACAAATAGGAAGATGTAGGAATTTATGTGCAGTTGCAAGTCTTGAATGTCTTCGAAGTTACAGAGCTACATGATTGGAATGTTGTCATGAATAGCTAAGTGCTTTCTAGGAAAGATGGACCAGAAAGGCAAGATGGTGGAGTAGCCCATTATGCAAGAGAACAGATGGAATTTGTGGAGCTCTGCCTCAGGGAGGATGATGAGCAAGTTGAGGGTGTATGGGTTATTACAAAAGGGCAGACTAGCAAGGAATGTTACTGTTGTGGGTGTTTGTTACAGACTGCCTGATCAGGAGGAGATAGTAGATTGGGCCTCAGAATCAGCTGGAAGTAGCCTCAGAATCACAGGCCCTGGTTCTTATAGGAGACTTCAACCATACTGACATATGCTAGAGAAACAGCACAGCAAGGCACAAACAATCCAGGATGTTCTTGGAAAACATTGATGATAACTTTCTGATGCAGGTGATGGAAGAACCAGCGTGGAAAGGTATGCTGTTGGACATTATGCTAACTAACAAAGAAGGTTTGGTTGGAGATGTGAAGGTTGGGGGCAGCCTTGGCTACTATGAGATTGTGAAGTTCAGTCCTCACTGCCAAGGCCAGCCCTTGGGAATCCTTGACCCAGGAGATGAGGGAGAACGTCCAGAGAAAGGAAGACTTTCCCTTGGTCAATGAGAATCAGTCAAACTTGACCTCTGCAAATCTGTGGGCCCTGATGGGATGCACCTCCTCCCATGTACACTCTGCACTGCTGTGAGTGCAGAGGGAACTGGCTGACATCATTGCTGGGCCACTCTCAGTCATCTTTGGAAGATCATGGCAATCAGGAGTTGGTGCCTGAGGACTGGGTGAAAGTCCCTGACACTTCAGTCTTCACAAAGGGCAAAAAGGAGGACCCAGGGAACTACAGCTTCACCTCAGTCTCTGGAAAGGTCATGGAACAGCTCATCCTGGAGGCCGACTCTAAGCACGTGGAAGACGAGAAGGGGTTCAGTGTAGTCAACATGAATTCACCAAAAGGAAATCATGCTTAACAAACATGTTTACCTTCTACAATGGGACAACCCAATGGGACAATCCCCAGTGAATGAGGGGAGAGCAGTGGATATTGTCTACCCTGGACTTCAGCAAGGCTTTTGACACTGTCTCCCATGATATTTCTCAGGAAGACCAAAGCAATTGGTCTGATCCCTGCTGAAGAGGGAAAAACTACTGACACAGTGTGCCAAGAAAGTAGGTTCTTGTTTAACACCTTTTTAACAATGATATTTGCCAGCAAGTTAAACTGCAAGTTAATGACCAGCAGTGGGGGTGTAAGACTTTTGTTATATTTGCAGATGAACTTCAGGTGTGTTGGGAAACAGAACTTAAATCCAGAATCCAGTCTTGGATGTGGCTTACAGGATAAAGCTTAGTAGCTGTAAAATTCAACAAGGAAGACTAAAATTGTGCTTTAAGAAAAACAGGTAATTTTAGAGGCAAGGTAATCAAAGCTGTTAAGTTTTCTGTGAATGTTTTTCAGCAGGTAAATAGACTTGTAGAAAAATGATATAGATGTAAAAAGTCGTGTGTTTAATCAGGCAGCAAGTTTGCTAGCCTTTGAAGTCCCTCCCAGCCTCTTCTTTCTGTGCTTTCTGCACAGAGAATATAAGCTAGCAATATGCTAGGTATACTAACTATAGTTTCTTGATAGAAGGGTGTTTTTTCCAGTAAGTGGCATCAAGATGTTTGAGGGTTTGTTTTGGTTGTGGGGTTTGTTTTCGGGTTTTTTTTGTTAGAGAGCATTATAGCTGTAATGCTGAAATTTTCCCTGCACGTGACAAATATAATATATAATGCATCTTTTTCAATATCTTGTTAGAAATAATACAACAATTTTATTCTGGAATAAATTGAAGGGAGTCAAAGGCAAGACAAATGACTTGACAAAGTTGCTTTCTTACTTGCTCTGAGTTAGTGAGAATTTGCAATGAAATCTGAAGTTTGCAGGAATTTAAAGCTTGTCTAGTGCTGCCTTGTGTCATGTTATCTGTGCATGCTGTGAGCTAGACCCATGACAATGAGGAAGGCACTGAACTCTCCTTTTAAGTGTCATCTTTGGGGGTGATGTTACTTCTGAATTTTTTGTCAAGTCAGAATTAGACGTTTTCTTTCTTGATATCTTTAGTGTTTGCTTGTTTAACTTCACTTGAAAAAGATGCATGAGAGAGCTGAGAAAGCTCCTGCCTTCAAAAACACGTAGCCAAAATTTAAAAAAATATGTAGAAACATTACAGTTTCATTTTTTTATTTTAGGTGTACACGGGGAAAAGGATGACAGCTTATTTCCTGGTTTTCAGCAAGGATACAAGTTTATGGACAGTGTTGTTTTCTGTTCCTGATACATAGTATCATTTTTTTTGTCAGCTGGAGTATTTTGTGACTTATTAAAAGTAACCCTAAGTAGTACTTGTCAAAATAAACATCATGTGGTCTTTATTTTTTATACCTTAGTTTTTATTCTGGATTATGACTGCAGAGCTTTCATAACATACACGAAGGAGCGTGGTTTGACACAGTACATTTCTAATGCATCTCCTGATGGTTTTAGGAAAAACACCACATTCCAAACTGTAAGCTTATTATTTATCTGACTGTGCAAACAAGAAATGTTTTCCAAAGGATGTATTCTGTTGTAAAGAAAAAGGCTGTTTCATTCTTTAAACCTTGTGAAGCCCAAAATATGTGTAACCTTAATTATGTTTCTGTTGCTGCACATGTGTGTTGCTCATGTTAAAATTTTCTATGTGTGCATATGCCTAGAGCTAGTAGAAGTGTCCTTAATAGAGCAGGATGAGAACTTGTTCCCCGCCATGTACATTAGAACTAGTAGTTGAATGGTGTTTTATGTCTTTCTCTTTTTATCTAAATACCATTTGATAATAGATACATTGCTTTCTATTGGTTGTTTAAAATAGTTTTAAGGTAGGGAGGAAATGATACTTAAATATTTTTCTTGCTAATCTTTAACAAAATAAATTTAATTTGCTGCCTCAAGAGGGTGCTGTCTGCTAGCAACTTGAATTGCTAAAGTGAAGTAATTCTGGTATTGTAGTTTAAGATTGAGCTATAGTGTTCATAATCCCAATTGCTTTAATAAATAACTACTATTATTTGTATTGGTTTGTGCATGGATTCACAAAATATTGGGAAAAAGGCTTAAAGTGATGTAATTATTTTGTATTGTTACAGTCATTCTCTTATACTTGGCTCTTGTTTACTACTTTTCACTCACAGATTTCAGAGCATAAAAGAGGCAAACATTGGTCTGTTTTGCAGACTGGATATGTGAAAGAAATATCCCTTGAGAGGTTAATCAGGTTTGTGACAGAGAAGTTATGATTTTTATATTGCAGCTTCATGTTAGGCTGCACTAAACTTGATACTGAGATATTCAACACTGGAATAGAACCACCACTGTAGAGGAAAATATGCATATACCTAAAGGAGGATATTGCTGGCAAGATAATTATTTGGTTCCCTGCTGCTGGAGTACTCACTGCTGTAACGAGCTATTTTCTCTATCATTCTAAATCTTTTTTAATAAAATACAAATTCTGTTCTTTTTTCTTTGTGCCCCATACTCTATTTACCTTTTTGCCGTTGTTGTTTTCACATGTAGTAAAAGGCACACTAATTTCCTACAGCATGTTTTTTTTCCATTTGAAGGTATCAGAACGCGTAGAGAGAAGACTTCAGGAGATAGAACAAGAGATGCGTGCTGAAAGACAGCTTGTAGAAAGGCGCCAGGACCAATTGGGACATATGTCTCTTCAAGTACAAGAGGTATGCAAATGAAAACTTCCCCTGTATTTAGGATTTAATTAGGAATGTGTTGCTTTTGTGAGCCTGTACCTGTCAAACTGACAAAAGTGCTCGTATCTGTGGCACATTTTTTAACTCTATCAGTCCAGCTCAGCTTGTTTTTATGACTAGATGATACCAAGTACAGTTTCAGTTCTTCATTATACTGTCCTGACTATGTTTAGACCTTTTTGGTAACTTCCACAAATGTTCTAAGAACCTGCCCCTATGCCCTTCCTGAAACCCCAAGCAAACAAAAGCAAGTCATTAGCTGGATTTTCTCAATGAAAACATTTTGTTTTCTAAAATGTTTGCTTGCAGTGAATCAATTGCTTGCAGTGAATCAATCACTACTTACAGTGAATAGTTTATTTTAAATTTATTTCAACAAACAATCAAATGCACTGTAGTGGCCAGACAGCTTTTCATTGCTTTTCAGTTTCATTCAACAGTATCTGATGAAATATAAAATATCATTTAGGAGACAAATAGAAATGTTTATAAAGTAAATTAAAATTTGAGACAGCTGCTATCTTTTTTTTTTCTGCTTGTTTTAGGAAATGTATGAAAAATACTTTTTCTGATTTTACTCCTATTTTGAAAAATCTGTCTTAACATGGTGTAACGTTTTATTTCACTTTGCTTAAGATATTATTTGTGATGTTATCTCTAACTATGCAATAGAATATTATAGTTGAGAATAAATGTGCAATTTCTTGTTTTTCACTTTTAGTATTAGCAACAGTATACATGCTTTTTGGAAGGCATTATACTGTACAGTGATACTAAGGAACCTTAATGTAGAATGATGCTATGTATTTCATGTAAAGCTAGACATTGTTCAAAGAGGTAAGATGCTTTGTTGATGTAGATAAAAAGTAATCAAAAAGTTATCAAAAGGATTGTAGTTCTGCTAGTATTTCAGAAAGACTTACTGTTTCATTTTTCCCCCAATTGGTGTCCTAATGGGTGAAGAGAACTAGAGTGCTTAATTTCAGTTTTCATTGCTCTTTAATATGCCCACGTCCATTTCTAGATTCTTCTGTTGTGCCTTCAGTCTGGAAAAGGAATGCTTACTGAAATGAATTGGTGTGATTTGATAGTGTTATCTACAGATTGGAACAACCTTTTTTTATCCTTTTAAAGGGATGATGACTTGTATCTCTAAAGATTCATTGACACTGCCATGGTTTCCTTAGAAGGAAAATTTGACTTCAAGTGAATGAGTTCAAATGTAGTTCAAAGAATTTTCGTATGGTCTTTCATAGATCATATGAATGATCATGGTCTATGTGATCATGAACCTTCAGGCTAGGTACCTTTTTTTTTTAGTTGCTCATCTTTTGAATTTTATGCAAAATGAATATGAAATACTAAGTATATCCCAGACCTTCCATTCCCCTAAGATGTCCAGCTGGGAATTAAGGTGGTTTAATCTTTTCTGCTGCAAATTTTATTTTATTCTGTACATATTTTTGGGAGTTATTTTTCCTGAGGAACCCCGTTCTAAAATACAGCTTAAGTTGCTGTATTTTAGAAAGAATGTACTTGAGTTGCTTTGTGTACTTTTGCATAGCCTAGTTACAATAAAATAAATGTTTTGCTACAATTGTTGTTTGAATGAAATGTGTTTCTGCATAATTTTAAGAGTTTATTACTTTGTTATTCTGTTTCTTGTCCTTTGTAGTTTGAATTGTGAGTTAGATGGACTCAACTCTGTCAGTGGCCTCAGTCTTGTGGTGATCATTGCGTGGGTGTGATGTTCTATTGAAGTCTATTTCTGTTTAATTTCTTCAAGATGCTTCCCAAGTAATATTAATGGAAAGGAGGGTAGTGTTTGGACTGAGTTTTGAAATCCTGTCATGTAATATAGCCCGGATGATTTACAGATAAATGCTATTTAAAGCATTTGTGGCTATTTAATAATACAATTTTTTCATTAGTTTGTCTGTTACACATTTCAAACCAAACAAAATAAAATTTAGCTTTTGGATGTGACCAGTAGTTGCTTTAATTAAGAAATCTTGTGAAGTTTATGTGAGGTTTAAGTGTTATTATTTTTAAGGAAAGTGCAGTGCCTGTAACTGACCACTACTTGTCAGTGTTTTACCATCTTAAGAGAATCATCTTCCTAAATTGCAGTTATTAAATTATATATTTTCAGGGTCTAACTGAATATAACAATACATTTGTTTTGGTCTTTCCCTTGTCTGTCTTTTCCTTCTATCAGACTTTTGTATAATGTGCAAACTTCTTATTTGTATTGTAGTATTATTATAATTATAGACTAATTATTAACCAAGATGATATCTAGTGATATCATCTATACTGATGATATCTCTATACTGACCATAAAGACAGCTTTGTGTATAACATTTTACATGTTTCATTTCTAAATATGCATTTTTATTTTGAATTTGTTGTCTATCTATGCTGTGTGTAGGCAGATAAAAATTTTCTCTACATTTTCATGTATCTTTTAACTTAATGTGTATTGATGCGTTTAAACAGCAATTACTGCAAATTAGAAATAACAATTAGAAAAAAAATCCATGCAAATCTTATATCTTCGATTATTTCTAAATTCATGATACAAACATGTTTCTGATTAGAAAGGAGAACAAATATGCACATCTTGCCAGTGCTGTAACATGTATACATGGATTGCTTTAACAACCTTATTAGTTGTGTAAACTAAAACTATTTGGAGATTCCTCAGTGCTTTTTTTTTTTTTTTAACATAAAGATACCATCACCTTTTCCTGTTTGTTTGCATTTATGCATCTATGTTCTAAAAAAAGATCAAGTATCATTCTGAAAAATGGGCTTTAAAGAGCTTTTATATACATTGGGTATCCTGGATAGCTTTACAAAATCTTGTGCTTGGCTTCCTGGATTTTGGTGAAATGTGTCCATGTGTTCATGCTTTGCAAGCTTCAGGCAAACAGAATCATCTTTATAGAATAGTTTGAACCCATTGACTGTGGTAAGGCAATGTCTATAGTTAGTCTTAAGGTAGCAACTGGATGGGCCAGGAAGCATTTTTTACTTTGTGCATCTATATGCTTAGATTCTGTTTTCCCCCCACTGCAAATACCGTGAAGTGCAAGAAGCTGCTGGACAGAGTGGGGTAAACTGATGGTCAAAAGTGATACTGAAAATTCTTTTTTACATATCTTTATCTCTGATCTTTTTAGACAAACATAAACTTGATCTGTGCTCTGAGCCATCTGGATATTTTAAGGCATCATTGATACTTGCTCTTTGGCTCTGTGCTATGCCACCTGTGGATAATGGTTTCTGTTTTGATTGAATCTGACTCTTTCTTGGAACATGAGCAAGTCTCATACCTATCTGTCACTGAAATAGCTAGGTAGTCTGTCTTTAGATGCCTGGCTGATACATCTAGGTAGCATAGTTGGACCCATGCTAGTCACTAATGTAGCAGGTTAGGGAAAGGATTTTCATTCAAATTAGGATGTGGTACATTTTTGCCTTATTTTAAAATATAGTGTGAGGCTGGTCTGCTTGTGTATTTCTGATAGTGTGAATAACTCACTGATTAGTTGCACTTTGAAAGAGCAAATTGCAGTTTGTGGTCTGTGCATTGCTTTCAAATAATCTGGTTTTATTAAAAAAAAAATGGCAACACAGCAAAACCAAACTAAGACCAAACCCCAAACCCTTAGAAAAGTCAGCAGACTTAAGTTGCGGTGAAAGTTATGATTTGCTCTTGAAAGATTTTCATAAATTGGAAAGATTGAGAATTTTTGTTACAGAATCCTCCACATAGTTTTCCCCAAGCATAGGAAAAATTCATCTGTCTAACAGGGAGTAAATTATTTTATCTTTTTGAAGTTCTGGGGTTTGATATATTCTGTATTCATATGGATGAGGTATACTGAGTTGAGGTATACCAGTTAGGTTTATATTCTAATACTGTCTTATGCTAGTGAGCTCTTTATAAAGACCTGTAAGAAATTTTCTCTTTGGTCAAATCAAAAGTTCATCTAACTTGACCACCTAGGCAGGCAGTGGAATATCTAGCTGGTTCATCCCAAAACCATGCTATGAAGACCTCTTTACATGGAAGTTCTCTGTTTTCTTGTTTTCTCCTCTATACCTGCCCCCTCCAAGGCCTCATCAACCTCCTTGTCAGCCTCCTCCTGACCAACCTGGATACTAATGCTTTCAAAAGAAGGATCTTGGTGGGCGAATCCTGTTGACTGTAGGCCTGTAACCATTCCTTGGTGCTTCAGCTCTTCTGTGCAATGTCTGCCTGCTGCTTGGGAGCCATCAAGGAGGAGTGTGTGCTGGGACTGTTGTCCTTAGCATCCCCTTCCTAGTTCCCATATTTGGCATTTGACTCCCCCAAACCCTTCTTTGGAGGCAACAAATGAAATCAAAGAATCAGTGGGGTCTTCACATGTTTTGTTTGTTTCTTTCTTTTTTTCCCAAGAGAAAACTTACATAGAGATATCTTTAGTGGATAAAAACAAGAATGGCACAAACCAGGAAGAGAGAATTATTTAAAAAGGAGTACAGGAAAGAGGCAAAACATAGAATTAACTATTACCTATGCAATTTCTGAATTGTCAGTAACAGCTGATGTTCGTCGGACTGTGATGACCAGATGTTTCCATTTCTTAATGACATTTTGACTGATTAATTGATTTCCTACCTAATACCTACTGGAATGATGCATGTTTCTCAGTTGAAGCAGTGCATATGTAGTATGTTTAACTTCTTATAACATCACATTCTTTTTGTAGTATTTTAACTCTGGTATATATATGAGCTGTTTTCTTTCTTAAAATGAAATAGGTATGGGCTATTTTTACAATATGCAGAAAACAAAACTGAATGTTATACTTGTAGTATCAGTTACAGGAAATACTGCCTTTTTATTTGAAATTATTGCTATTTAATAGCCTAAATATCAGTCAGTGATCCTGATAAGTTGAAATGGCATATTTATTTCTGTGGTTTCTTCTTGGAATTGGGATGTACTACAGATGCAGAGACATACTTTTTGCCTTCAGCAGGAAAATCTTGCACAATTTTACTAGTATTTCTAATTTCAGCCCAGCTTTAGTATTTTTCTTATGATGCTCACATCTCTAGGCAAATCTGCACATGAAAACATGCATTTTTGATACTATGTTAATTCTTAATTTAGTCCCAAAATGTGGTTGGCGTAAAGTTGACTGTATATAACAGAACTTCCAATTTTGCTAGTAAGAATGAAGCTCAGCTGGAGGTAGTACACATCATATATTCAAAGTAGACTGTTCTGAACTGGTACTTCTAGTCATTAAAATAAACAAAACAAAACAAACCACTCAAAGAAACAGAAAGAAACCTAAAGAAAAACCCCAACCCAAAACCCAGCCAACTTGTGCAATAATGGCATTAGTTGAAGTGATGCTCTTTGACTTTTGTTTACATAGCTTTTTGGGACTTCTGCCGAGAGTCTTTTTGAGTAAAATATGTGCAGTGTTGAGTTTTATAGTTGACTGGAATGATTGATTTAAATCTCTACTGAATACTTAGGGAAATATCTTAAATATGTTACAGTCTTCTAGTATCTGATTAGGGATCAGTATGACTAAAAGGGTAACTTTATGTAGCATAATATTTTCAGTGACATAGGTATGATTAATATCTTCCACAGTTTCAGTTTTTAATGTAAGCTGTTCAAGCAGGAGAGTAACCCAAACTATACTGAAACCCTTGTGTTTCCTGAGATGAGGATGTAAGAGTGAGATAAATATATAAATCCATTTATTTTCTCTAAAAAGCTACTTATGAAAGCAAAACTTCTAAAGCTGAAAGCCTAGCTTCATTGAAGTTGATTAATATCTTGCACTCTGTTTTCATACTATGAAATTGTTCTCCACTATACGGTGGAGAGAAAATGTTCAAAAACTGAATGATATTGCACTATTAATAGAGGCAAATTTCAGGGATATTTGTTAAAAGAGATATTCCTTTAAAATGTAAAATGAAAATGCTGCTTGGGAAGAGCAGACTGGGAAAAAGACGTTTCATTCTCTACAGGCTATGTTTTTTGTTTTTCTGTTGTAGTTTTAGCAAGGAATTGTGAAAGGAATAGGTGTACTTATGCTTCATTATATGAGATGAAAGTAAAAGATTTGTGCTAAGGTCTCTAATTAATTGATTTGTGACTAGTGTGAAAGACAGGTGGTCATGTTGTGCGGATAAAGAACATGATTTACTAACAGTTGATCAAATTCATGGTGAACTATCAGTATATGGCTACTGATCTCTCTCAGCTGATATTTGAAATGAGCCAATGACATTGTTGTGGCTTAAGATATCCAAACTTGGGTTATGTATGTTGCAAATTGTACATGTCATTAATGTCTGTCATGCCTAATGCTTCCTTTGCCAGTGATTGTCTGTGTTCTGCAAATAATGTTGGTTTGCAGAGGGAAAAGATTTTGAAATTGATATTCAAGGCAATATTATTTTTGTAAGATACTTTACAAAATGTACATATATGGTTTTAGATACCTCAGTCTGAGAAGGAACAGGAAAAGTCCCCATGGATTCGTTTTGTTTGCTTTTTGTTGTTGTTGTTGTCAAAGTAGGGCACATCTATGTCAATAACTTTTGATTAGGAATGTTTCAGTTTATTCAGTTGTAATACTGTGATTTTAAGCATCTGCCCAGATTCAGATAAAAATAACCTTTTCCTTTTTTTTTTTTTTTGAGTTCCAACACAACTTGTGGTAGCGTTTTCTTTACTACAGTGCACTGTATAATTGTTTTTCATAACATGCACACCTTATATTAGAAAATATATCCATCTTCTCTGATATGTGCACAACTAATCTGTAGAGGATCTGCCTTTTAGACCTTCATCTCAAGGTGTTTGGGGTCAACCTTAAGCGTCTGGAGCTCTATACGTCGGAAGGATGTTAGTGCTAGTTTAGACTTTTTATTTGTCCCTGTTCTCTGCATGGGTGTGTTTATGTATGCATGGACTTATATTTATTTTTTCATAACAATATACATTGGCTCTACATGGAAATACTAGAAGCAGACAGACAGCATTTGTCTAGATCTTCTTTCTTAAATGTGTCAGCAGATTTTTTAATTTTAACAGCCTTAGAAAGACAGCTTCTGTAACCTTTGTAATGAAGTTTACAATATATGTTTCTCCTCTAAAGGCTTTAAGGAAGCAAGATGCTAAAGCAGCTGAAACAGAAGAACTCATGAAAAACAAACTTGTGAAATACGAAAGTGAAAAAAAACAAGTAAGACTTAATTTTTTTCCTTTTTGGTTGGTTTTAAATGAGTTTGTAGTGTCATCTGTTACAGTATATGCTTCCTTTTTCAGAAAAACCAGCAGGATAAAACTTACTTTATTCTTTAAGAATACAAGGTTTGGGTTTTTCTCTGCGTCAGAGGCACTGTGAATATAGCTATGCTGAACTTGTGTCTCTCTTTCAAAGCTCTTTAGTTATAGTGTGTTACTTCTAATGACTCTTTCATCCTGCTAGGCAGACAAATTTATAACTTGGGGATTATCCTTGATTTCTTTCTCTGATTTGCCTCTAAATTTATACATAGTCTGCTGTTGCTTATTTGCAGCAGCTCAGAGGTGCGTCTTTTCTTCATCTCTGCAACTAACTTATGCTGGTTGTTTTGCACCATAGTTATTATTAATTGCTCCTACTGAATATGTTGCCATATTGCTCTCTTCCTGTTCATAGAAAACAAGATTTCTTGTATTTCTAGCAGGATACTAGGGCTGTAGTTATACCCCTTTATGCTAAACCTTTATGGAGTACTTTATGTTATGTTGCTCTCTTCATGCCCTTAATGCTGGTCTTGTTTACTTTGCCGATTTGCCAACCTCTCAACATCCTCTTTGAGATTGCTATCTCAACAATAACAATTTCTGCTGTCAAAATCTATATTTATTTCCATGTGGATCTTTGAACTATTTATGGTAGAAGTCAGAAAATATTTTGTAGATTTTGCTTTCTGTTTTTTTTCCAAATGGTCCTAAGTTTGACTATATCTGATTATCACAGTTTTAATATTATGTTTTTAGGAAAACTGCTAATTTTATGACATTCAGGGCACTTCAATTTTTAAGTCATCTTGTTTCCAGAATAATTCAAATATATCATCTTGTACAACACAGAAAAAACACAGATTTTAGTAATTACCAGTTGTACCAATGCATGTCATCTTTAACACTTCCATGAATAAACTATGTAACAAAGGTGTCTTCAAATACTAAATATTCATTTTGAGTTTGAAAGTATGTTTCAAGTCCAGAGACAATGTTTTTGAAACTTGATCTTCCGTTATTTTACTTTTAACCCAATAAAAATTTGCTTTTGTGCTTTTTTTGTTCTGGATAATACAAATGACTTTGTATCTTCGTGTGATACAGAATATTGTGCAAAAATTATAGACTACTAGTTAAATTCTCTTCATGTAATTTAAATAAATGTAGCAGGGATTTTGTAGAAATGAAAGTTTGCTTTAAGATTTTGGACAAATAAAAATATTGTGTATATTATACCTTGTTTTAAATAGATGCTTATATAGATTAATTTGTGTCAGAATTAAAAATTTAAAATACCTTTTTATGCAATGATGCATAAATTGCTTTTCTATCTTCATCACCCTCTGAAATGAAAGCTTGAGCAGGAATTGGAGCAGTCTCGGAAAAAGTTGAGTGAATCTGAAGGCAGTAGAGAAGTTCTTTTGCATCAGGTAACTGCTTTGGCGTGGTAAAAATCTTAAAGTTTTCATGTTAGGTTGTGTCTGAGTCTTTTTGCTTAATCTTCCTATTTCATACTCTGCTAACATTGTTTTGTGAGGGGAAAAAAGAAGATACAGGTTTAAGTGTCTAGAATGTGTGGACTGAGCTCTTGTTATACTTTTTCTGCTTTCCAAACTTTTATGTATATATGTTCATATATAGTAATTATAGTAGTGGTAGCAATGGTACGTTTCAGTACATAAACACATTATTTGTAACTTCTTTTCATAGTGTGCTTTAGAAAAACTTCTATATTAGTAATTATTGTTATGCAAAGTGCATGCTATAATTGGTGAATTCAGATAAATGAATGACCTAGAAGTATTTGCTGTATTGCTGTATTATAACGTGATAAAAATATATAAGCAAATATCTGAAAAACTAAAGTGTCCTCTAAACAGTAGCTATTGATGCACATATGATTAAACTTAGAATAGGAAGGGGGCAATTGGTATACTTATCTTTTAGCATTAGTTGTTTGACTTGTGTATCTAGCAGAAGTTTGAGTTGGCTGTATTACTGCTTTGAATTTAACTCACTGTGCATGGAATATAGAGTAATAAGAATTAGAGGTATTTTTCTCCAATTCAATTTTAGCGTGTCTTATTTTCTTTATTTTCCTGTATCATGACGCCTTCTTTGTAAGTGCTATCTGTATGTGATAGAAAGAAAAATGTTAAAAGGCTCAGTGCATGTTAAGAATAAATACATTGTATTTTTAAGGAGCACAATTTAAATAAAATACGTTGTTTATTAAAACAGCAAATATTGTGATATTTTCACTAGCTATGTAAAAAGACAGTTGTAACATATACTATGGTAGCATTTTGTTTGGTTTAGAGAAATTAATGTGCAACTGTGGTAAACATAACAAATTAAAATGTTTCCTTTCATTTTGAAAAATCACTTTGTGGCCTGTAATTAGGAAGTAATTTGTCTTTTTGTTTACGGTCTGCAGTACTCTCAAGATTCACTTATAAATATTATTTGTGTGTAGTATTATTTCTTTTAGTGCTTGATAAAAGTATGCTGTTTGCTCCTTCATTCTGTTTTTTATTAAACGTTTGATACTTGTACATACATTTTAGATTGAGGATCTTCGTTCCCAACTTCTGAGAGCAGAAGAAGACCGTGTAGAATTGCAACATCAAATTTCACATGCTGCTGTGCATCGCCAAAGCTACCAGGATGTACAAGATGATGACAGGAGAGTTAGAGCAGGTACAACTTATATTTTGCACTTGAAGCCTAAAAATTAGTAAGACCGGACATTAACTGTCTTAGAATTGCAGTCTAATTCTTCTATTGTTTCAGCAAAAGCAGCCACTTAATTCCTCAGATTTAAATTAATAAGTATTGGCACCTGAATATTAATAGACAAATAGCAATGATGGTTAATTTAGGATTAAATATCTTAATTTGCATGGTTAAAACAGATGAGACAATTTCAGCAAACTGGATAGTGTTTTTACAGAAGAAAAACATTTGTATTATTTTTAACTAATAATTTTTCAGAAACCTTGCATTTCAGTCCTTGTGTAGTTTGAATTCTGCCATCTTGAAAATCATAGCACGAGTCATTTATTAGGTAGTTAATAAGGCTGAGGACTTTCTGGTAGAATTTTTAAGGAACAATATGTTCCTGAGTGGTTAAGAAAATTTTCCTGTATGGTGCAGTCAGGGCTTCTGTTTGTAGTATGTTGGAGTTTTAGAGTTGGAATAATTTTATTTAGAAGAAAAATACTTTAAACAATTTCAAGATATAATTACATCTTAAATTACCGTTTTAGCAAGGTCTTAACTTCATTGTTAGTTATCTATCTGTATTTAAACTTTTCAAACATAATCAGAAAGGCATTAGAGAAAGTCTTTATCTTTCTCCTTATTAGCATGGAAATGTATTACTGAAGGTAATCCAGGAATAGTGTCCAAGTCCAGTGCTTATGTGAATGTTTAATTGGTTTGGCTAATGACTTATTTTTGTATTTTAATCCTTCAGCTACTGAATTATCTTGATTTTTAAAATAGCACTCTGACTCCCTGTTTTACAGCTCTTATACAGAGCACTGGAAATTGACTAGATCATGTACAGGCTGAGCTTCAGAAATGTAACACAAAATAATAATTTCAGTTGTTTTTCTCCAATCAAGTTAATGTTCTACTGAAAAGTCAATTTACGTGAAACAATATGCCTTTCATGTTAATGAGAGCATGTTTTAATTTTCCCATTAATTATATAATAATAAATCAAGGCGGTTGTAAAAATATGAAGAAAATAAAAATGTACTGGAGCTATTAAGATGTCTGCATATATTTATATAATTTTTGCAATTATGTTTTAGCTTGCTGTGTTATTTTTGTTTTTTCAAAGATACATGGGAAGAAGACATGGAGATTTATTTTTTTTTATACCTCTAGTAGTTGTCTTTGAATTTCTGGTTGAAGGAATTTATAGCTTAGTCTTATCAAAAACTTTGGTTTGACTTGTAGGATTCAGACATAAAATTCACAGATAATGTGACTTCCAAATCAGGAGGTGTTACTCTGATGGGATAAAATCTTGGCCTTGAAGCTTATGGCCAAATTTCATTTACATCAGAACTTCTCCATTGTTTTTTTCATCCTATTTTATTTTATTTAATTTTGTTGGGGTTTTGGGTGGTTTTGTTTTTTGTGGGGTGGGGGATAAGGTGTGTGTGTGTAAGAGTGGAATACCCCTATAAAATGACTGAAAAATACTGTCTCATTCAGTAAAAGGTTATGAGCTTATGATACAGGTATAGCCGTTTTTGAGGTATTTTGGTCAAAATCAATAGTTATAGAATAGTCTCAAGTAGAGAAAGAAAATTGCCAAAAGAGAAATGAGATAAAATTAATTTACCACAAGTCAGTGTTTCTACTGAGTCTGTTGCTCTGTTCTTGCTGGTTTACAGTAGCTGAAAGATATGAGAGAGAGAAGCAAGATCTGGAGAAACATATTTTGGAACTTAAAGCAAAGCTGAATCATAATGCTGTAATGTCAGAGGTAGAAGAACTAAAGAGATGCATAGAGCGTAAGGACAAGGAGAAAGCCCAGCTTGTAATGCACATACAGGTAAGTTTGGTTTTGTTGCTTTTTGTTTGGCGGTGGTTTTTTTTTTTTATAATTTTTCATCTGTTTAACATTAGATGATAGATTAGGGATTAATCTTTCAAACTAGGAGTTACTGTCATGGTCTTCTTTATTGTGTAAATAACTTTGAAAAGTCATTTGAGTTTGCAGAGTTTTATTCTCTTCCATCTTAATACCAAAAAAGGTATTTGCTATTGCCCATGATTTCATGGTTTGGATTACTTCTTTCCCATGTGCAAAGAAAAGGTGATCTGATTTTTATCAGCAGTTATTGTTAATAATGGGTTTTGGAATTACTTTTATAAGGCAGTACTTACTTCCTTATTCTCCATACCATCATGCTTCAGAACTAAAGTTTAACTTCAAAAACTCAGATGCCTTGGTCTACAAGATAGTGTGGTAGAGTAACAAAAGCAGATTACAATTTCTCTTTTTTAATCAATTAAATGCAATATAGTAATGTAATTATTATTATAAGTATTAGTGTTCTTATGTATGATAAGCAATACTATTTAACGTGATTCTCTGTGAAAAGAATAAAAGCAGTCTTTGGTACTGGAATTTTAGTTAGAAGACTTTTACCACAAAATTAGATCTAAGTAGGCAGTAGCCTTTTTTTTAAGATGGGAGATTTCTGTATTTTTTGATCTCGTCTGGATTTGTCATTAGTAGTAAGATGCCTGAGCAGTAACTATTTTCTTCTCTCTCATGACTGTCAGAGAAATGAGGTTGTTTTCAAAAGTGTATGTATTATTTCAGTATTCAAGGACTTAACATTTTATTGTGCTTGTATTGGGGCATTCTGTAAGCAAGGGGGTTTGTAATTTGTATTTATTTTTCTAGTGAGGATACTTTGAAATGATGTCATATCACTTTGGAAATTCAAATGTAGGAATTTATTTTTTGGTGTTTTCATAGATTTACAGGACTGTACTGTTCAGTTTACTTCTACTGCTTTTTTACCTTGTCAACTCCTGTGCTGATTTGAATGAAAGTAGTACATCAAATTACATTTGGAAAAAGTTGCAATCTCAAAATAAGTTCCTACATGCTTTATGAAATTTGGTCATTGAATAGGTTTAAAAAGACCTCAAGTGCTTCTATAGAGGGTAAAACAAGCAGAACTCATTTCCTGATGCCCATCAACATTGGTATGATAGCTGGCCTATAAACTCCAGACTAACCCAAACCATTCTGTTTTTTTTGGTTTATGAGGCCTGAGAAATTCCAATTACTTTGGAGGCAGGAATTGTGGAATAAAAACCCACAGAAAACCAGTTACTTTAAAATTCTGCTTGTAGAACATGCTTTCTTAAGAGTCAGAATGATTTTCTAATACTAATTTCCTGCTCTGAAAATACTCATGTGAGAGTGCTCAGTCGGGGTCGTTGTCATTGCTCTGAGTTAGAAATCTTTGACTTCCCTCATTTTCTCAACAGAAAATACTTTGTTCTTCTTATCTGCTTCCCACTGCCTTTCTCCTACAGAGGCAGTAACAGGAAAATAGCTAGTGTGTTTTTCTTTTAATGAGACATCAAGGAGTGCAAGGATGTGAATTTCTAAACTCGTGTTCTAACAAAGCATTTTGTCAAGCTTTTCTAACAGCTGCTCCTCTCAGATAGTCTGATTCCCAGTTGGAAGTGACCAGTCATGTTTGACTTTGGTGTAATTTATCTTTGTTTAATGGGAGGATCTAACTGCACTTGCCTCTGATGTAGATGTGATACTAGAAATTTCTTTTGATTTATTTAAATGTCATTGTTTTCAACAATTTGAGTTATGTGTTGTTCATTTAGTCCCCAACAGTTGCCATAAAATCACAATGTGATGTACAATAGAGAGGATGAAAAGGTTAAAATGTATTCTTAAACTCATGTTTAGAAGTGAGTTCAATCTTAAATTAATCTTTAAATTTAATAGAGAAACGTTTTATTTCAGTTATTGTTGTTTATGTGAACATGCTGCTGTGACATCTTGCAAATGTATACAGCTATCTTAAATACACTTTTCTGCATGAAACTGTATAGATATTGGGCTGTTATGGTCTATTATGATCTAATTATTATGACTAAGAAATAAATGAAGTGCATGAATTATAAGGACGCAATACCCTACTTTCTCCATAAGTGGTTTTAGACTCTTACGCCTGTGAAATTGTTTGATTTACTACCTCTTCATTCTAATAAGGTCTTAGTACAGTCAGTTTGTTAAAATATTTCAGATTTTCTGAGGGAAAATTATTGATGTGTTTATATAATATTAGAATTCTTCAGTAATATGTCTTCAGTCTTATTGATTTGTATTCTCATTAAAATTAATTTTATGACTTTTCGTTTCTTCTACAGATGAAACTGTTAGCCAATTATTGTCATTATACAAGCCAGTTAAGGTTTCTGAAAATCAATAAGTAACTATTTTCTAAATTTAAAGATATCTTACAAAATAGAAGAAATCAGTACTTCTGCAGACCAGCCTGTATTGCCATGTCAATGTTCAAATACTGCAATAGTGCTCCAGATAGATCTAAAATGAACAGATGCTATTTGCTTTGATGAACTTTCTCTCTAAAATCACATATCAACCGGGGGGGGAAGATGGTTTTGGTGTATCTTGTACAATGTTATCTTTCAGGAAGATTAGCAGTTCAAGCTTTGGAAAAATATAGAGAAGCCATCACTTAAAGAAATTGATTTTGTGCAACATACTTTTTACTGAATGAATGTACTTTTTGACTGATCGAATGTATCTGTCTTTGATTATTCAATTCACAGAAGTTATACTTGCATGAAAAATCTAAATCTTCTGGATTAGTGGTTCCTAGTGGTTAGATACATTGTTTGACAAGAGATGCAGATCAGATTGTGATAATAAATTAGTATCTGGGGTCTGTATTTGGGAAAAATTAGTTAGAGAATAATTAGGTTCAATAATTAATTGTTGAAAGCATTCCCAATGACAGTAGTATGATTGCATAGCATTACAATCTGGTGGCTGTACTGCTGAGGTACAAGGCACCAAAAAGAAATGAGGGAGAAAAAGACATATAGATCCACTTTAGGTGACTGATCCAATTAGTATGGTGGGATGAAATGTGACTTTCTGTATTCCTACCGGTGTAGAATGTTTGCACATAGCTGTGATATAAGGCACTTGTTCTGTAAACTGTAGCAAATGAGTGGTCCTCACTTGCATTTTAAATGTTCACGTGAGTTTTAAGAAATTGTATACTGAATACTCTATATGTAGTGTTTTCTGTACCTAGGATGAATTTTGTTTTGTAGTTTGTGGTGATTTTTTTTTTAAATTGGGTGTCAAAAACAGGGCAAGAGTATGATATGTGTAGTCAAACTAGGGACTAGAAGTCCAAACTGCAGGAGTTTCTAGAATGGTAGTAATCACATGTTTTGTGCCTGTAGTGATTAGTTTACACTTCAGGTAAATAACTAGTCTATAACTGGAAAATGTTGTTCTCTTTCTCTGCCTTCAGTTTCTTATGAAAGTTGAAAGCTAGATTACATGCTGGGATATTGGATCTGTAGAAAACTAGATGCACAACTGTTTTAGCTGGGGCAAATGTTGCATCTGAGTTTGTTCATCACTTCTGTTCTGTGTCAACCCTAGCCAGAGCCTCTCAACTGAAATGTCTGTGGCAGTGTTGTAGTCTGAGGGCTCATACAAACTTTGTAATTGGTACTTGCATTTAGATCTCTGGAGCATTAATATGCTGTACTCCCAGGATTTAGTAGCTAATCTTAATGACATTTTTTAACTGTTCCACAAAAATAATTATCTCTTGTAAAGATCTTCAGATATTAAAGCCAGGAGGAGAGTATTTGATGTTATATTGGGGGTGAATTAGTTGACATGAATATTCTGATACCTTCCCTTGGTTCTGCTAGCAGTGAAACTATGAAAATAATCAGATTAGAAAAACTGAGACCCAGAATCATCTTGTGTAAAGATTGAGAAGAGATAATATACCATAATCAGTTTTTTTTCTGTAGTAATCACAATGCAAAGTATGCTAACAATTGCTGTATATATACGCAATGTATTTTAGCAACAAAATGTCCTGAATATCCTGGGTTGCTTCTGTCAGGAGAACCTTCATCCATGCTGTTATAATGTATGTCACATAATATTATCATACTTCTGTTGCATCTAGAGAAGCTCACTGAGTTCTCTGTGTGACTGACCTTGAGCCACAGAAGACACTGGATACTCCTTGGAATCTGAAGTGTTTAATCTATAAGGTCAGCATTTGTCATCTGTATAGAATTTTTTTGGAATCACAGGTGCTTAGTAATTTGCCACTTGGAAGGGAAACTCAAGTGTCCAAGGAATGTAGTTTTTTCTCTTTTTTTCTAATGAGTGCAATCTCCTGAAATTGCTTGTCCTTTCTCTTAGATTATCTCAGTCTTGTTAACTACAGTAACAACTGAGAAAGAGAAAATTGGATTAATATTAGAACAAACAAAAAAACCCTCCAGCAAACAACTCCAAAACACTCTACATCTGTGTATTCTTCTCATGGAGAAATCCTTAAAATATTTACATTCTGAATTGCCTAGAAGGGTAATTCCAAGATAGAAGTGTGAAAATTAGGGTATTCTGCAGGGTCTAAAGTAAGCATCACTCTACCAAATTCTCCTGCCATAGTAAAAGGGCAGCTTGCAAGGCTCAGGGCACAGCTGTATCGAGGGGAACCACCATCAATATGTGCATAGACACGGTTGTGACACTGAGCTCATTGTCCAAACTTCAGTAATACAGAACTGAAAAGGATATCTTCAGACTCATTCCACTGGACATAGGCCTGCTTACAACTTTCAGCACAACGTTTAAAAATGTTCTCAAAACAAAGATGGAGACTGAGATCTTTGATAATTCCAATTTCTTTAGCACTAACACAGCTCTAGGCACTGTAAATCTGAAGAGACCTGGGAGATGGGTTAAGGTGTAGTCTGTGATCAGGACTGATGTTTCTCTTTGACCAGTTCCCTCAAATCCCACAACTCTGGAGGCTGAGAGCAAACTTATATTTGTTGTGTTAGGTGTTTAATTTATTTGTCATTTAGTGCTATGTACTTTCTCTTCTCCCTGCTATGTCATCCTAATGAAGGGCAACTCCTTCCTGACAGGTAACACAGTATTTCACCCTTAATGCAACCTCCCAAACAAACCAGCAAAAAAAATAATGAGAACCCTGTGGTGCAACATTTGATTATAATACCAGAGTGGGTTCCTCCCAGTCCCTGACCCAGCGTCTATCTGAGTTTCAGCCTGTGCTGAACTTGCATTCAGTACTGCTCTGGCCACGGCTGCAGTGGAATGTGCATACAAACAGCTTGACAAAGGAAGCCGTCAAACTATGTGTCTTACATTAATGATATGCAAGAGAAGTGTAGGGAACAGAATAAGGGTCTCTATGTAACCTTTGTTGCTCTCACCAAGGCTTTTGATACTGTGAGCAGAAAAGGTCTATGGCAGATTTTGGAACGTTTAGGATGTCCCACCAAGTTCCTTAAAATGATCGTCTCACTTCATGCGGATCAGCGCGGCCAAGTCAGATATGGCAATGCACTTTCTGAGCCCTTTCTAATAAGCAATGGTGTGAAACAAGGCTGTGTTCTTGCACCAGCTCTATTCACCTCAGGAAGTCTTTCATCATCCCCATATCACCATTGGCCAATCAGAGCTCAAATCAGTCCAACAGTTTAATTACCTAGGTAACCTCATCTCCTCAGATGGTAAGATCGATGGAGAGATAGACAACAGGTTAGCAAAGGCATACAGTGCCTTCGGAAAGCTTCATAAAAAGAGTTTGGCGAAATAAACACTTGAAGAAAAGTACCAAGATCAGTGTTTACAAAGCCATAGTGCTGTCTACTCTTTTATATGGTTCCGAATCATGGGTCATCTACCGCCACCACCTGCGTCTCTTAGAATACTTCCATCAATGCTGCCTCTGTACAATCCTAAACATCCACTGGTCAGATTATGTGACCAATACATCTGTTCTAGAATGAGCAGCAGTCACAAGTATTGAGGCCATGTTGCTGAGAACACAGCTGCGACGGGCAGGACACGTCTCAAGGATGAAGGACCACCCCCTCCCTAAGATCTTGCTTTATGGTGAACTTGCCACCGGCTGCCACAAGAGAGGAGCCCCAAAGAAAAGATACAAGGACTCTCTGAAACAACATCTCAGCCTTGGCCATATTGATCAACATAACTGGTCTACTCTGGCCTCAAACTGGGAGGTCTGGAGACACACCATCTATAACGCTGCTGCTTCCTTTGAGAACGCACATAGGATCACTCTCGAGGAGAAAAGACAACACAGAAAGAATCGTGCCTTGCAGAATGTACCACCTAAGGAGTCTTTCTGCTATGCCTTTTGCAATCAGACATGTCTATCTTGTCTTGGCCTTTTTAGCCACCAGTGTGCTTGTAACAAATGTGGATAGAGCCTTTCCCAAATCTTTGTTCACGAAGCCTAGCCATAATGACATTAATGATAAAATTTTATGATGTATTGTCTGCATGCATTTTTAATTCACTTTACAACTGAGAGTCTGAGTTTCTGAAAGGAAAATGAGGACTAAAAAGTTGAAGGGAAACAGAATTGGAACTTTGGCAGATGTCTGTATACAAATGATATAATATGTGATGGGGAAACAGTTACCTCCTTACTCCAGGTGTTATTCCAGTATTCAAGAATGACCATATGTGCATCCATAGTAGGATGCAGATATAAACGTTTTGTGCAAGATACTTTGTTATTTTAAGAGAAAATGGGTACCTTTCAAGACTGAAGGTCTTGACAAACTTAAGAGAGTAGGCACATAACATTTACTTCATTAAAATTTTATATATTAAATCTAATGTTTTTTGAAAGTATGCTAAAATTGAAAAATGTGATGCTATGCATTAGCTTAATTAACAGGTTTTTTTAGTTGTAAAGATTGTTCAGAAAGAAATCAAAAGCTGAAGTTTATAATATCATCATTATGAAATGAAATTGCAAGGTCATACTTTCACAACACACCACTGCCAAGTATGATGTTGTCCCAATGACAACAGCAATTTGCTTAACTACTTCTTGCTAACAAATCAGTCTTAATTCTCATAAGGTCAAAATTAGGGACTAAAAATATGTAGTATGCTTAATGGAGTTTTATGTGTTGTATTAACTACTTAGTCTTTGCCGATAATACAATTCCACAAGAACGAGTGATCAGTCATTTTCTGAGTAGTGTTTGTCTGAAAGGGATATCATATGTGTAGGCAGGTAATGACAAATAGTGAGGCGATCGCTTGTCTATAAATGTTCTGTTAGAAATGTTACTTTGAAAATTGTAAATAGTCATCCTGCTTTTTTTTCACAACATGCCTAGAAATTGGGATTGTGTGTTGAGATTTTTTCAGAAACCAAAAGGCACGACCATAATCTTCGGGTTTTGTAGACAGCTAAACTCTGTACATAGACAGTGAGGTTTGAAGTATACTCTTAAAGATAAGAATGTGGAGGCCCTCTGTTTCTCTATCCTCTTGCTTTGCAGAGAAGGCTGCAGGAAATTTTGGCTTGCTTTGCTGCTGATTTCAACTATTGGGTCTGTGCTGGCTTAACTTTTCTAAGGAAAGTGCAAACTATTTGCTAAGATCTATCATATTTACACATATTGTAAAAATAAAACATTAAAATTCACATTTATATTGGTACATCTGTGTCAAAATTAATTTTTCCTCCTCATGCAAGTAACTCATATTGATAAATTAGTTGCGCTTCAAAGTAAATAACTAAAACAAATGTTCCACTTTTTTTATTATACTGTAAATCAATAAATTGGAGATTGATTTGCTTCTACACAATTACATGAATGTTTATAGTTAATTGAACATTGTTTTTTGTGTTTAAGCTTAGACTCATTTCAGTAAAAAGTCTCTGGGGGCTGTACTTCTACTAATGAACTGTATTCTCTGGGGGAATTATATATAAATGACTATTTTTTAATGATGCAGAGCTGAGTAGTACATCAATTTAGGCTGATATCCTCTCTGTTGCCTCCAGAAAGACACAAAATGGGAAGTGATAATGTTATTTATAATCACGATTGAAGAAATGATCCCCATTTTAGAAAATCTGTTGAAGGGTAAATGTAATATCTGACTGTATTTTATCAGGCTCTTTCGAACTTCTGCTATACTCAGTTTATATCTTTATCTTTAAAGAAGTATTATAATCTCTATTTTCATTGGAAATTAAGCTTGTTTTGATTAAAATTGTAGCTTGTGAGCTTTTTTTTGGTTGGTTGTTTTGTCTTACGAATCAAGACTTTTTACAAGGTTAGAGCTGGTAATTTTACCTGATGAGCTCAAAAATGCAATTTAAAATAACAGTGAAGAAGAATACACGTGGGGTTTTTTCTAATGTATAGAACCATAAATCTAAAAAGACTCCTGTTTTATTTTGCCACCTGTGTAACATTTTCTCCCAGCTATTCCATAAACTTTACCTATTGTTTTGTTATCTGTATCTAAGTTGCGTCTTAGAGCAGGAATGTTCATCCTACAGATAAGCGAGTGACTGTCCAGTGGATAATCCTACTCCTACTTTGCATCATGGGTACAAGTAGCAAGATGGATGAATTGTTCTTGGTTATAGTATCAGTCCCTTCCTGTCTGTATTTTTTGACCACGATCTGTCACATGCAAGAGTGCACATGCAGTTGTCTTTTCAGCACAGCAAATACCATCCTGAAAAGATTGGTACAATTTACTGCCTCCCAGGAGGTGATGGCCTGGTTTTCAATAAATAAAACAAATCCAACAAACCAACTAAAAAGGAGCCCCAACCAACAAACCCAACTCTCCCTCCCTCCCCCAACCTCGTGGAAGGATCTTTATCTAAATAGTTATTCTCTATGCATCTGTAAAGTTACTTATTCTTTTCTAGGCAAAGTACTTTTCCCTTGTCTCTTCTGAATTACAGCCTGTTTATTTTAGTCTATATGTGCAATTTTATTCAGTCATTCTGAAATCTAATCCTTTTCTCAAGTATTCAGTCCCTTGAAGCTTGATAATATTTTTCACTATAGATCAGGTTCATCAAATTCATCTATATCATTAATGAAAATACTGAATGGTATGAAAACAGTCTAAATAGACCCAAAATACGGAATACTAGTATGAATTTCTACATGATGATCTTAGTAAAATACAGTTTTGCTAGTGTAGCTTCAATAGCTGATTTCTGAAAATGTCCTTGCAGAAGGTTTATGAAGAATATTTTTCCTGAGTTGATTATGAGTCCTAAAAAATGTAATTTGAGAAAGGCAGCACTTGTTATTTTTAAAATTAATGGTTCAAACATCTTTGCACTTTGTTCCAGAAACATCTACCAAGCAGCTGGATTCTCTTTGTATTCAGTGCTTTCAAATATACCCTTATTCAGCATGTTGCTTTCATAAAAGCAACCAGCATAAAACTGGGTAACAACTAGCTCATATACTGTAGATTACTTTGGGTGTGATGAATACTATTGTTTCCTTGCCAGTTTTCTTTTTTCCTCTTGTCTGCTTACATTCGTCTCCTTACATTTTAATCTTTGGTTTATTTCTTATTTGTGTAGTGTGTAACATATGGTCAATGACTCCATCTAAAACCTATAATACAGAAAAATAACAAGAACAACCAGAAGAAGAACAAATGAAGGAAGGATAGAGTAACTATGTATTTTACTTCATCTTGAAATTAATTCTTCACCATCGCAGAGGGGGAGATTCTCTGGGCTAACAGGGCTTTCCTTCATAGTCAAGCAGATCTTTTATGCTATTCATATTTTAGATAGAAATGTGATTTAACATTGCTGTATGTTTTTTGATAAGGTTTCATACTGCATATCTTTGGAGTCAGAATGTTTGTATTTTTTTATGATGATTCCAGGTGTTAACGTCTGACGTGGAAAACAAGGAGAAGCAGCAGGAAAAAATGCTGGACCAGCTAAAGGAGATACAGAATTGCTACAAGGCTTGTGAGAATAGGTGTAGACAAACTGAACTCCAGTCTTCTGAGTTAGCTCAACAGGTTGAAGAAAGTACCAAAGAAGCAGAACGGTATCTCTCTGAATTCAAGCACTCAGAGGCACTCAGGCTGGAGACTGAGAAAAAAAGAGAAGATTTGAAGGTGAGAGCACAGGAAGCCATCCGCCAGTGGAAGTTGAAATGTAAGAAACTGAGTCGTGAGACGGAAAAACAAAATGAAACTATCAATGACCTGATGGAAAAGAATAGTCAGGTAAGGTTGGTTAATTTTTTTTTTTTTTGGTACCCTTTCCATTTGCTTTAGAAATGAAGATAAGGAATTTATTTATGCAAACTGTGACTTAAACTGCTTTCTGCCTTAAGTTCTGGACCAAATTTTCTGGTAAACTGGAAGACAACTACTAGGTGGCAATATTGTTTAGCTATTATGGAGTTCCACATTCTCTTCTTTTTCTGGTATTTATTCCAGTTTCTTCACTTAATCAAAGCTTTCCTCTTGTGAAGAAGAAAATTTCTCTATGAATGCTGCTCTTTTCAGGTGTTGATTAATGTAGTTTAGCTTATTTTTTAGTTAATTTTTGAGGAAATAATGTGATGTTATTTTTTTAAAAAACTTGAAATCCTACTACATAATAACCCTCATACAGCTTATGCTTTATCTCATGTAATGGACAGTGGTAAGATCTTTGAAAGAAGGTGTTTACTTTCACCATGTGTGTCAGATTGATAACAGACCTTAATGTATGTGACCTTTGGCACAACTAGAGTATTTTTAGTTCTTTTCTGTATTTAAGCTCTTCTCAGACTCTAGGCTTAGTAATGACATCTTCTGTTGCCAGTAAAGACTATAAGTTCTGAAATATTATAAGGACTGCAACTCAGTTTGAATTTGATATGTGGAGGCAGAAAAATAGATTTTTTTTTTTTGTTTGAGAATGTGCAGAGATTTTTTAGCAAAATGGAGATTTTAGCCAAAAAAGACACCTAACCTGCATTTGGGATGAGCATGCTGCTAACATCTATCGTGCAGTTCCAAGGTTTTTCCATTGATCTAGTTAGAGAGTCTGTGTTCCTTATATTTTTGTAACTTCTCTTTTTTTTTTTGTTGCTCTTCATGTGTATTCAGTTTCAGCCTCTGTATTTTTCAGAACTTGTTATTTGAAAAGTCAGTTTGTTAAAATTGATCCTGTCACATTTCTGGGCTTTTAATTTACCTTTGTTCAGTATGGTAAACCACTTATTCATCACTTTTTCCTCCTTCAAAGTTTCTCAGGCAAAAAATAAGGGGTTTTTTTGGTTTGTGACTTAGAAGAATTTCTTGATTTGTTCAGCTACTGACACTGCTTTAAAGACAAACACTCACATCAATGCTAGTGCTGATCATTCTGTCTTGGAATAGTAGTAGAAACCATCATTCTGTTGGCAATGAGTCTGTGGGTCTGTATTTTCCAGTGGCTGGGTCAAAAGTTGCTTGCTGCTATAGTGGCTAGTACAGTGCTAAGCTCCATAATGTGAGCTTTAATCTTAACTCACATGCTCTGCTGGTGCAGTCTATTATATTGTATGGCTTCTGTTTTTATAACACTTCCCTCACCTCTTTTCGTGTATTTTCTCATAGCATTCATACAATTTAGATTACTAAATCTGATGGGCTTGAGATGTCTTCATCCTCTCCTTTGTCCTGCTCCAAGATTGATGTTTTCAAGGAGTATATGGAGTGCAGTATTGGATTTCTGTATTAATCCTCTGTTGTTTCTGATCCAGTAACCTGTTTGGAGGCTTGTACATGAATGTACAAGCATGGTCAATGCACAGGAGAAGCCACAATGGGGCTAATACTGGGTTGAAATTAATAAACTCTAGCAGATCTAAACTGTGATTGCTGGGGTTGCTGTTTCTCTCCTGAATTGCCATTCATATTCCTTACTTTTTATTATTATTTACTCTATCCATGCTCCAACAATTCATTCCACAGTAATCTTGTTGTATTAGTTAGCCTGAGCGCTTGCCTGGGGAAATAAGGTTTGCAAACATTTAAGAAGCTGGTCATCTGTTGCCTAGGAAAATGGAGTTTTTAAGGAAAGGAGGTCAACCTGAATCATTTAGAAATCATATATGTCTATCAAATGGACAAATAAGAAGCAAAAAGTAGAGGCAAGTTATGAATAAGTAGCAGTAGATCTCCAAAAGGTTCTGAAATCACTGTTCATGTAAATGCATGGACAGGTCTTTGTAGTGGCACTTGATAGTCCTGTCCACATTGAAATTTTCTTTGTTACATAAGACTCCTTGACGTGGATTTTACCACTTCTTTCTTATATAACAAATACATTCGAATGCTAAATGCAGTCACTTTGTTTTAAACCCCTTTAAAGAAATGCTGTCTGTATTAGTTCTTATTTTTAAAGTTGTCACCATCTTGCCAACAAATTTGAGGTGTCCCCAGTTAAGAAAGTTTCTTCATTTGAGGATATGTAATATCAAATGAACTGTGTGCCATTGTGGAGGTTACAAACAATATTTCATGTTCTCAATACAAAGTTGTAAACAGTTTCCGTATGAGGATATAATCAGTCTAGATGCAGCATTTGTAATAAGATTCAGGGAACTAGATGAACATAATTTAGGGAGCTTTGAAATATACAGACAACTAGCAGCCGAGACAAAATTCTGTAAAAATAAGTAGTAAAGAAAAAGAAGAAATGGCAGTCTGTTGTCTTTGATTACTGTAAGAGGACTCCAAAGGGTTGATGGCAAATTTTCAAAATTGGGTTGCAATCATGGCTTGCAATTTTATGAAATATTCCAAATATTTGCAGACAATGGGTGGGCTGTAGAAAAATGGGTTAGGTTTCATTCTTTTGGAGATACTGGGATAATTTGGATAAAGTTTTGTTCATGTAGTTGTCCTTGATATTGGTTGACACTGGAATTTCTAACATCTTGTGTCTTTTGGAATGAATTTTTCTTTTAAGTATGGAATGTAGAAAACATACTTACACTCAAAGCAAGTTACTTACAGGTTTTATTTTGAAATGTTACTGGGTTTTGTTTTTGTTTGGTTTTGTTGTGGGTTTTTTTAGCCAAATCTTTCAATTAGAATTACAGTTTAAGGAAAGTCTTTTTGTTTCGTTGGTTTTTTTTCAGAAAAAAAGCATAATGGTCATGACCCCATGTCCTCAATTTATTAGTTTTGCATTTTGCTTTGCATTTCTTATTTTTGATGTAATTGCAAATTGTTTTATTATTTTTAACCTGCACACTTTTTAACTCGGTTTACATTTTTATTCTGGATTATTTCAAGTAATTTTGCTATATCCATAAGAAGTGGGCACTGTTTGTAGATTTAGTAGAAATACTTAGTAAAAGTCAGTATAAAATTTATTAAACCAGTTTGAAGAATCCAGTAGTTTGTGATACATCAGAACAGATTGCCCAAACAGGTTGCAGAGTTTCCCTCACGGGAGATATTCAAGAACTGTCTGGACTCAATCCTGTACAATGTGCTCTAGGATGACCCTGCTTGAGCAGGGAGGTTGGACCTAATGACCCACTGCGGTCCCTTCCAACCTTACCCATTCTGTGATTCTGTTGGTATTTGTAATATAAAATATATCAATATTGGAAAGAATACCCAAACTCTTAAGCTCCTTAGGAAAACAGTAGGATTTTTGTTACATTTGACTGATTTTTATTTTGAAGGTGACGTCTTCATTTCTTTGCTTTGATGCATGAGCGAACCAAGCTTTTAACTGCTATTAATTCATCTACTGATTAATTCATCAACTGTAGTTTAAAAAAAAAAGTTAAAGTGGGTATACTTCATATGTAATATTTTAGAAAGTAAACAAAATAAATCAGCATATGGAATGGACCTATAGGTAAGATGTGTGTGACCAGTTGTCCTCCCTGTATTCTGCTCTAATACCTCATTTCCTCCGTCTTGCTAATTAGAGGAACCAGTAAAGAAACTCTTCTCAGTCTGCAAAGAGAGAATGTGAGAAGCAGGGAATTAACCAAAACTATCCCTGCTTGTGAGGCTAGATAATTTAAGGACAAGTACAAATTTGAGATCACACGTGTTCTGTGTCTAAATTTAAAGAAACACTGAATACATTTGAACTGAGTTCATGACAAGCAAAATTTTTGTATTTTCACAGAACAAAGTATGTTAATTTTTCCTTAGACATTCCTAATGTCTAAGGACATCTGTCCAACAATTATCTTTAAGGACTTTAGGTCACAATGGATTTCTTTTTCTTATTTCCTAGACCCTCAAAGAAAAGGATGATCTCAGAAGTCAGCTTCTCTCAGCTATACACCAAATAGAAAACCTCCGGAAAGAGCTGAATGATGTGCTTACAAAGAGAGCCCAGCAGGAAGAACTCCTCCACTGTAAAGAGGTAAAACTGAATGAAATGAAGTCACACGAGGTATCTCTTGAAGAAGAGATCAAAGAAGTTCAAGGTACTGTAAAAAAATTGGAGAATGAGTTGAAAAAGCAAGTCTTTCTACAAAATCAAATGCAAACTGAGAAGGAACACTTGAAGACAGAACTTGCAACTATTAACTTGATCCATAAAAAAGACCAAGAACGACTCTTAGAAATGCAAGCAGATGTAAAAAATTTAAGCTCTGTACGTGTGGAACTAACAAACAAAATAGCAGAAGAGGAGAAAGTCAAAAAGGAATTACTTAAGAACCTCTCAGATCTCCAGAAACAGCAGGAATCTAAACATGAAGAGATGACTTCAGCTAACAGGCAGCTGAAGATGGAAAGAGAAGTTTACCTACAGGAGTTGGCAGATCTTAGATCAGAGTTACAAAATGTCAAAATCAAACATGAACAAAAGGTTCAAGAACTCATGAAACTCCTTAAACAGGAAAAGGAGGATGCAGAGGCTCAAATTAGAATGCTAAAGGTACTTATTGTGAATAATTCCAATGTCAGACTTCCCCCCCCCTTCATACATCCCCCCTCACATGCCCCCTACCAATGAATGATGAAGATAATAGAGTATGGGCTTTAATGCACTTAACACACATTTTATTCCAGGCCATCATAAAAGCTTAAAGTTCAGGATAAAAAATGTAACAGTATCAGTTTTAGGTCAAAATCTTAGTTCAACAGTAGTGAAATAGGTATGTCTGTGATCACAACAGAAGGAAATATATGAGGCTGTAATGTTTTTATATGGCGATTGAGTGAAGTCGCAGGTGACTGAAAAAAAAGCGAAACGTTGTACCCATCTTTAGAAAGGGTAGAAAGGGGGACCCTGGGAACTACTGACTTTTCATTCTCACCTCTGTATCTGGGAAAATCATGGGACAGGTCCTTCTAGAAGCTATGCTAAGACACATGGAAGATAGGGTGATGATTTGGGACAGCCAGCATGGTTTCATCAGGGGCAAGTCCTGCCAGACCAACCCAGTGGCCTTCTATGATGGAGTGACTTCATCAGTGCACAAGGGAAGGGCTGCAGATGCCATTTATCTGGACTTCAGTAAAGCCTTTGATATGGCCCCACACTGTAAGGCTTGATATGCATGCAGGTAACCCCAGGCACCTGTTTTAAAGAAAATTTATTTTTACAGTCAAGAACACTGCAATACAACTGGCCTAGAAGGCAAAGGTGGAAACCCATTTTGGTGCTTTTATAAAAACAGCTTTTGCATGCGCAATAAAAGCCCAGGCTGAATTCTTCCCCTGGGCTTTATGGCCTGCCTGGCAACCCTGCAGGGGCCTCCAGGCATGTCTGTGAGAATTTTATCACTTGTAGCAAAGGAGTTACCTCTCAGCAGACAGATAATGAGAACATCATAGCACCCTGCATGAGAATTAATTCCTTCCCACGTAAAAGCTTTTCCCTGGGAGCAAAGGTTCCCTTGAATGGGTGCTAAGCTCTCCCTCCTTGATATTTCTTCCGAAGGTCTTCTGCTCCTGCAGCCACATCCTTCTCTTTAAGTTGGAGAGAGATGGATTTGGTGGGTGGACTGTTAGGTGGGTAAGGTATTGGTTGAATCCAGAGAGCAGCGATCAGTGGCTCAGAGTCCCAATGGACATCAGTGACAAGTGGTATCTTTTCTGTATTTGGACCAGTGCTGTTAAATATCTTCATTAATGACATATGTGAAGGGACCAAATGCATCCTAAACAAATTTGCAGATGTCACCAAGCTGAGTGGTGCAGTTGACACACCTGAAGGATGGGATGCCATCTAGAGGGACCTGGACAAGCTCAAGATGTGGGCCTATGGGAACCTCGTGAGGTTTAACAAGACTGAGTGCAAGGTGCTTCACCTGGGTCAGGGCAGCCCCTGATATGAATACGGGCTGGGGGAGGAACAGATCGAGAGTGGCCCTGCTGAGAAGGACTTGGGGGTGCTGGTGGATGAGAGGCTGGGCATGACACAGCAATGTGCACTTGCAACCCAGAAAGCCAATTGTGTCCTGGGCTGCATCAAAAGAAATGTGGCCAGCAGGTCGAGGAAGGTGATTCTGCCCCTCTACTCTGCTCTTGTGAGACCCAACTTGGAGTGCTGCATACAGCTGTGGGTCCCCGGCACAGGAAGGACAAGGACCTGTTGGCACAAGTCCAGAGGAGGGTCACCAAGCTGATAGAGGGATGGAGCACCTCTCTTGTAGTGAAGGCTGAGAGCATTGGGCCTAGGAAAGAGAAGGTTTTGGGGTGCCCTCCTTCCAGTATCTGAAAGGAGCCTACAAGAAAGATGGAGAGAGACTTTTTACAAGGGCATATAGTGAAAGGACAAGGGAAATGGCTTCAAACTGAAAAGCAGTAGGTTTAGATTAGATATTAGGAAAAAATTCTTTACTGTGAGGGTGGTGAGGCACTGGAACAGGTAGCCCAGAGAAGTTGTGGATGCCCTGTCTCTGGAAGTGTTCAAGGCCAGGTTTGATGGGGCTCTGAGCAACATGGTCTGGTGGAAGATGTCCTTGCCCATGGCAGGGGAGTTGGAAGGAGATGATTGTTAATGTCTCTTCCAACCCAAACCATTCTATGATTCTATGATGTTTAAATTGCATAATGTAGAAGTACTGTCATTGAATCTGTAAATACTTTCAGAATGTGAATAGTAATGATGTGTAACTCTGGTTAAGTTTAATTTTGAGAGTTGTTTCTATTTCAAAAAGTTTTAGAATTACCCATATCTGTAGAATTTCTCAGAGAAGTGTTTATATAGTAAATGATGAAATATAGCGTTTTATTAATGAAGAAGCAAATTAATGTCTTTAGTTTGTATCATTTGCTTCTGATATAAAGCTATTGCTTTGAAAAGAAAACAAGCATTTTAGTGGCTTTAAGTGCTCTGAATAAAATTGAAAAGTTAAGTTGAAGTGCTCTAAACTGCAGTTAACTGTCAACAGCTGTGTAAGTTTACATTGCACTTCTATTGAAACAATTTTGATTACATGGTTAAATATATATGTAGATGTTTATAATAATAATATTAAATTTTATAGTTATTTTAATGGAGGTGTTGGTTTTCCACGTAAGTTGTAAATTACCAACATGTTATGAGTGACTTCTGAAGCACTGTATATATATAGTTTTCACCTTAGTCCCATTAAATTACAAATTTACTCGTCAAAATTCTATCAATTTAACCATAAAAAAGCTATGAAATCCTTAATAAAAGCTTAAGTAATTCATGATCTACTTCATCATAAGTAATGCAAGCATATTTTTCCTTTATATTATCACAAATATACTTGTTAAAAATGCATATTTCCTACATATTTTGCAGTTATGAATTGACATAACTTAGAAAGGATATTTAGTTATTTAATATACCATTAAAGATATAAGATATAATGTACCATATATGGATATAAGAATTGACAGTAATTCTTAAGCATCTGGTACCACAGAAACCATTTAATGGAGATAGCAATAAAAAGAAAACTAGATGATTGTTAGTGGAAGGATCATTAAAACCAAATATTTTGACAGCACTGTTTAACACAGAGGACTTAATTTTTCATGTGTATAGCATTATTTAAATGATCTGTTGAAATATGTGTTTTGTCTTTGATAATGACTCTGAAATTAAGGGTGTACATTTGACAGGGGAGAGAAGGAAAGTGTATTTTGGTTGCTAGAAAAAAAAATTGGTTGATTGTGACTGTGTTCTTCTATGGAATGGCAAATCTTACGGTAAGGACCTTGATATCTTACTGATTGTTGAACCTAAACAGAATATGAAAAAAATTAACTTCCTTATTTCATTTACAGTGCCATGACTTTCCCAGAATCCTAAATCTACATACATTTTTTTAAGAGCAGAGGGTTTGAGGGAGATGAATTTTCTAAGATATTAGAGTAGGCAACTTTTTTTGAAGTATACGAAATGATAATGCACAAGATTCTCTTGATTGAGAGAATCAAGATTGTAAGTAAAACAAAAAAGAACATTATATCCATCTGTAGGAAGATCTGATGAGAACATATCATCCTGCAGGTGATTTTGTTACTTTTTGTCTGAACTCATCATTACATGGCAATTGAATTCCAATTTTATGGACGCACTTTTCTTCCAAATTAAGGTAAACTTAAATGCATTTTATCTTTTTTTCTTTGTATTGAAATATGGTGGGGTTAGGGTAGAGTTTAGGGAAATCCAGCAGAAAAGGCTGGGTTTTTTTAACCTATTATCCTGGGGTTTTTTTGTGGCTGGTATAAGTTTTTGTACCTAGCAACCAATTGTCTTTTACAGTAGTAATCTTGCCCTTATGCCTCAGCCTCATCCAACCTTTGTAACTGTTTTTTAAAAGGAATATACATTATCCTATCCAAAGATAGTTAAAGCTTTAAAAAAAAAGGTCATTTGGGAGACACTTGAGGAGTAAATGGAAATTTAAAATATTTGTAGGACCCAAAGCCTTAAACTTAAAAGAGGATGCATTTATGAATTACTTTCAGGAAATCAAAGTATAGAGCCCTGTGTTTAGAGGACTAACGGCTGCATAGGTTGTAAAAAGAGGTGACTTTTGATTCTTGCAGTTCTTACCTCCTCTGTATGGTAGTTTCTGCCTCACTTTTGCTTGGTTCTCTGTAGTGCTGCACTGGATTGAAAAAATATTAGGTGGTTAAGTATTTTTGGGGTAGTAGGGAAGGTACCATAAGAATAATGTATGATGCAGTAGAACTGGAGAAGAAAATAAAATTTTGTATGAGATGTCAGTGTTAAGAAGGATCTTACTGTTTCATTACTGAGGTTCTGGTACTTTAGCTTTTAATTCAGTTTCTGCTAGAACATCCTAAATGATTCGCAACCAATGCCCCTATGATGTCTTATTTATTATTTAAAATGATAGGTACACTAGGCATAGGAAAGTTGTTTGCTTAGTGGTCCCCGTTTGGCTATGTGCTCAGAAGCTCTGAATCTATCCCCTAATTTTACAACATGTGCTTTAAAAATACCCTTGTTTTCTTAGAATGATGACATGCAAAATGTCCTTATGCCTGACAGTGTTGAAGTATCTGAAGTATTAATCTTTAAGGTTATATAGAGTTGTGTTATGTATACGTATAAAATTCTGTACATGTATTTCTTTTTCAATTGTTTTCCATACATTTTCTAAGTGTGTAGTTCTTATTTTCCTGAAGATTGTCAGGTGTGGAAATTGGATTCAATAAAGATCAATTTAATTATGGTCACATCTGCCTTGTCCATACTGAAAATTAATAAAATTTAACTTTGTCCATTGTGTCTCAAAGGTAATACAAGTGAGGAATTTTGTTCTTGCATTGTCTCCATCTGCATAGACATTATAATGCAATTACCTTTGATAGGAATTGAAAAGTTGATTTTGTAAGCATATTTACAGAAAATGTTTTGGGCACTGCAGGCTTGTCTTTGTGGTCCTAAGTCTTTGTAGACCTTGGATGCCAAAGTCCTTTCTCAAATTTTCCTTCGGAAGAGTTTTGTATGTACTCTGTTCGCTTCAGCATCTAAATTAACTCATAAAACCTCTCTCCTTACCCTTCTTCCTCAGAGGAGATATATTTATAGAGTAATTGGGAAATAGAATTTTTGCTTTTCCTCAGAAAGGAATTTACTTTACAGGTTTATTTGTGTATAACTGCATCCCACAACTTATCTAATATGAAACTGGTTTGAGTAATATGCATGTTAATTTGCTTCTTTGTTTTGTGGTTGGGGGGTTTTGTTGTTTTTTTTTTTTTTAATTTATTTTCTAGATATTCTAGAGAATTTCTCAAGCCTGTCATTTTCAGTCAGTTATCTTTTGCACTGGAAACAAATATACTTTATTCACTCACTCTTAGGGCTTTCAAGGCCCTTAAATGTTTTCTTCATTTTTCTCTGCAGTGTTTTTATGAACAGTGTTAAACCTGCACTATAATAGCATTAAACCGACACAATTTTAGAAATTAAAAATACTAAATCTTTGCAGTTGTTTCCTTGCAGATATAAATTCAGTATTAGTTCCTGAAATAAAATGATAGTTTTAGACTTTCTCATTCCAAATTATTTCAGTAATGGAAAAGTTGCATAAATACTAGGCTTCTCAAAGTGATGTAAGCTGATGAGTGTAGCAGAGTTGAAATGCAGAATCTGAGACTTCTGTTTACTGCTTTTAAGACACTATATGGTTCTACAACTCTATGATACATATTTTCCATGTTCAGATAAGTGATTGCACTTAATATAACTTAAATGTAAAAAATTAAATTGAGTTATCATTCAGTAATAATCTTCCACTGATTTAAAACTTTAGAGTCTGGGTGTGTTTTAAAATAACCCATAGAGTGACTTTGTAATCTGTTTTCCCTTTACCATCAGATGGAGCTTTTAGAAGAGAAAAACATAGTCAAGACTCAGTGTCGACAACTGGAGAAGATAAAAGTTGAGTGTGATAAATTGACAGAAGAATTAACCCAAAATGAAGAAGAAAATATAAAACTAAAACGGAAATGTGAGTTTGTAGAACAAGAACTGGAGAAAAAGGTAAAGTTAACTGGTTTAACCTTTGGTCTCTCTGCTGATAAATACCTAAAATAAGTGATGGATTATAGAAATAGATGGTAAATTTAAATTTAAAAAAATACATGTATGTATTAAAGAACATACCCAATCATACTGTAGTACACAATTTCAGTATAAGTGAAAGAAGACAAAACTGCTTTGGCTGGGTTATGAATTGTATCCTCCAAAGATTCACTAATACTATTTCGGACTTGAGATATAAATCCTGTTCCTCCCTGATATCTAATATAGGTAACTAACAACTCTTTAACCAACCACGTCTTGTTTTCTTCACATTTTTCTTAAAGATGCAGTGCAGTTATGAATAATTTAGAGGTAAAATACACTAAAATATTCCTGTAAAAGTGTTTGCCCTTCACTGCACTACATCCTCCCTCCTGGTCTCTGCAGCAGACAGATGTGTTTCAATATCACTTTTTCTCACAAGATGAGGGTTTTTTTAATATTAATTACAATGGATAATTCAATGTTTTATATAATCTGCCAGAAGTTTTCTTCAGTTTTACGTGGTGGCGCTATCACAGATATAAAAGAAGTGAATCTGAATTTTAAAAACACATGTAACATATTTAATGAACTTTCTGACATTAGATAACTTAAAATGCTTTCCTTAGTGCTACTCACTGTCCTATGAGATATTTTTTGAGTAGTTTTCCTTTGAGAGCACACTGGCCGCCAATAAAATTTACCTTTAGGGATCTCTTTTCTGATGATAGAGATTAGGTGCTTGTAACTGGTTCATAGCAAAAGATAATAAGTATTTGTTATGGGCTCTCTTTCTGCTTGTGAGAAGGAGATTTGTAATAGAATGTTTATTTTTGACTTTGAAAATAAGCTTTTTGATTGTTGAGTTTGGATTTGGTAGCAGTTTCTTCATAACTGATTTACAAGAGAATGGGGAGAATCAAGAGAAGAACTTATGAGTGCTACTAGAAGGTATTGTTTTCCCGTGGCAAGGAATTGAACTTTGCATGAATGAGTACATTGTGATTATAAGATTGAAAGATATATTGCTAATGATGTATGTTATATTACTAATGCAGTAATTTCTCTTTGTTTTGTTTTTCCTCTTTCACTCCAGGAAAAACAGATCAGCAATGAGGAGGATCATTTGAGAAAGATGAGTGAGGCCAGACTGCAGTTTAAGGATCAGCTGCGTCACTTAGAAATGGAACAGCAATCCATTCTCTCCATGATAGGAAGTGAAATTGATTCTGCTTGTGAAATTTTTTCTCGGGACTCTGTGGAAAAATTCAAAGTAATTCTAAGTTTTAAGTAGGCTGCAGGCTTTGTTATTTTCTTAATGAAATTTGTAGTAGAACTTGTATTCATTGTTGTCACTTATCACTTACCAGTATAGATAATTTATGGACAATGGAATTATGGATATTTAGGTGGTTTGGAGTGACATTGCTAGGTGTTAGAATGGGATTCTAGGAAGATCTGTTCATGTATTACCAGCACTGCTTTCTTTTGCAATTTCTTTTTTAATAGTTCTGCTTTTGCTTTTGTGAGAGGACCTTACATAAGCCAGAGTTTTGAGGCAGGTTTTCCTAGGCCATGTTCCTAAAGTTGGGAAGTCCCCAAGGAAGACCTAAAATGCATTTAAAGTTTGGGGAAAATGAAAGAAAAGTGTTGTTAAAATTCATTTAGATGCTTTGTTTTTTAAGTAAAGAAGTAAATGCTGGAAATGAAAAGAATTTATAATCTCCTCTTCTGGGGAGCAGGTCCTTGTATCCAGAAAACTCTGACTCAGATTTTCAGGAAACTGGTAGCTTGCTGTAATTTTTTCTTTGCTATTTTATTACTTCTTCTGCAACCCCTGTCTCCTTCTAGCTTTTCTCCTGACCATTCTGGTTTGCTCCCCAGGTACAGAAACCACTCTTCCTCCCTGCACATGATTCTACAAGACTAATCCTCTTAAATCAACATTGTACATTGCTGAGAATAAAGAAAACAGAGTCTGACTCAGCTTGTCGCCATACTCAGTAACATTTTGGACATTCACAAATGCTTGACCTGGTGGCTTTTTCCAGAGTACACTCAGATTACATCTTTTTCTATTTTGCTGTTTAAACAGAGGATATTTTGTAGTTGCTGGTCACTTGACTGGGCTGGGCTGCTTTTCAAATAGGAATTTTTCACCATTGACACCATTTCTCCACTTACCTATGGAGCTGGGATGTTGCACCACAAAAACAGATGAAAATTCTAAGAAAATGTATTTGATAAACAAGCTTTCTGCTCTGTATCCTTACATATAAGTTTTTTTTTTTATTAAATCTTTATCTGCTATAGTTTCCACATTCTTGATCATTGAACCATGCCTTCTTGGACTTGCTTCCCCCCTCCTGCTGAGTCTTTGGCTTCTGGATAAAGTTTTGCATATCTCTGTTGATACAATTCTTCTTATTTATCCCCTTTAAGTTTTGACCACTGACAAAGTTAAACTGGTTTTGAATCTGAATTTTTGACTAGACAGCTAATCTGAAAAGAAATGTTAAACAGTTTTGTGGTGCCTGGTATGATTTTTTTTTTTTAAAGAAGGTAAGAAACTTCCTTTACTGTATTTTCCTCTGCCCAATACTTTAGATATCGGCAAGGTTTCTAAAAGGTTTCATACAAGTTCTTTGCTTCAAGAAGTTGCCACTGCAACTGAGGTGAGCAATGAGGAATTTGATGGATAAATACTTGTATTAAGAGAAGTTAAATACTAGGCTTAATCTTCCCTGACAAAAAATGATTTGTTTGATTAATTTCCAGTAAGCAGAAAACACTTTCTCCTTTCTGTGTCTCATTCCCATTTTTATGTCTATTTCTTTCTCTCATTCTTTTCCATAGGCAATATCACTTACACCAACAGTTCTGAATGATCCTCATCGCTGGTTAGCAGAAACAAAGGTAATAGTCAAACCTCCTGAAATTTTACTGTATAAGCTAATATCCAACAGTTGTGCAGTGTGAAGTAGTGGGAGGTGTCCCTGCAGATGTCAGGGGCTTGGAACTAGATGATCTTTAAGGTTCTTTTCAACCCTAACAATTGAGTGAGTGGATGAGTCTGTGAATGGATGGGTCTGAATCAGTTGAAAGTCTGTTTGAAAAGGCACTTAAAGGGTAAAAGGAAAAATACAAAAATATTCTTTTGGCAATAATTCTGATATTCCCAGACTGTTACTTCAACTGATGGAATAATTTTCCAAATTTTTCAACAAGAAATAGCTGTCTCTATAGCAAAATAAATAACAATGTTGTTTTCACAAAAAAATGCATTGAAGTAACTGCAGTGATAGCCTTTAGATCTGTTTCAATTATTTTCAGACAATGAAAACATAAGACTATTGAAGGTCAACGTATGTTCTCTTAATATCTCTGAATGTCCCCTTCTATTGTTATTATTATTCAGTAATAGGTACAAATTACTAATCTTTGACTCCAAAGATAATTTGATCAGTGAACAGCTGTGTCCTCTTATTTTCATTAGAATTCTTTACTTTTTATTGTCCCATTTTTTTATGTAGACTAAGCTTCAGTGGCTGTGTGAGGAGGTAAAGGAGAGAGAAAGTAAGGAAAAAAAGCTCCGATGCTACTTAGTGCAAAGCCGAGAACAGCTCCAGCACTTTACACAGATGAAGGAGACTGAACATCAGTCTCTCTTTAAGCAGATAAAAAACCAAGAAAAACTTTTGGAAGAAGTTCACAGAGAAAAAAGAGGTATGTTGCTAGTTCCATTTTTCATTTTTGTTAATAAAAGGGAGAAAGAATTTAAAAATTGTAATTCCTATGGCACATTCGGATATATTTAATCAATTAGTTATTGAAAACTGTAATTTGATAATCTGCTAGTGGTAACCAAGAAAAAAGTTAGGGGTTTTTGTTTTCCCTTGCTGACAAAAAAAGGCAAATACAATCAACTATGTTTCAACCCAGTATAGTGGCTGAATAACACAAGAGTTCGCATCATGCGCAGTGAATATAAAAATTATTTTTCAACACTACCATCTGAGACATTCCATGACCTGGGCAAAGAGGAATATACAAGAGTCTGAGTCAGTGTGAATTAGATTGCTGTTTACATAGCTCCCTGTGTCATGGTACAATCTTTGATTGTATTCTATTACCTCAGTTTCCAAAGGAAGGTGTTACCTCTCAGGTTTTCTTGTGTTTTCTTTAAAAGGCTTTTTCTGGCCTTTATTCAGGGCTCCATACTGATATGATGGGACAGAATAAGTACTCTCTCTAATAATTTTGGTAGTTGTCATTTTATGTTGACTCTCAGATGAGAGTAAACTTTTAGTAAGCGTAGTTATAGCTTCCAGTAGCTGACTTATTATTGAAAATGTTTTATGAAATGTAACGAAAATAAAACAGCTGCCTGGTTTGAACTGGAACAGAGTTAATTCTCTTCCTAATAACTGGAGCATGCAGTGTTTTGGATTTAGTACGAGAATAATGTTGTTAGCACACTGACAGTTTAGTTGTTGCACCCTAAGTCAAGGACTTTTGAGTTTCCCATGCTCTGCCAGCGAGCAGGTTCACAAGCACCTGGGAGGGAGCATGGCCAGGACAGCTGACCCAAACTGGCCAAAGGGATATTCCATACTACAGAACATCATTCCCAGTATATTAAGTCAGGAGAGTTGTCCAGGAGGAGCCAATCACTGCTGACGAATGGGCTGGGCATCACTCAGCAGTGAGCAATGGTATAGCGCATGACTTGGGCGGTTTCTGTTTTAATTTCTAGCTTTTGTTGTCTCCCTTTTCATTACAATTCTATTATTTTTATTTTATTTTGTTTTATTATTTTATTTTTATTAGGTTTTTATTTATTATTTTATTTTATTTCAATTCTTAAACTGTTCTTATCTCATCCTGGGGGTTTTAGCTTCTTTCTTATCCTCTTCTGTATCCCACCAAGTGTATGTGTGTGTGAGCAGTTGGCTGCATGGTACTTAGTTGCCATCTGGGGTTAAACCACCATTACAACAGCAGTAACAAATAAAAACATTCTTGTAAATATTTTATATAACAATGCAGGTTATTTCTTTTAAAAGAATAAGAAAATTCTGTCAAGATTTTCTTCCTCCGATTACAAAAGAATTAGAAAGAGAACATTTTGATCTTTCAAGCTTGAATGTTTCTACTATTATCCTTCATTTTTTAAAAAAGATGACACCCAAACCCTTATATGACATTAATAGTGCTTTAGTGTTCTTATATTGGAATAATTATCTGCTAAGATGATATCCCAGAGGCCTTATTTGCCTTTTTTAATAAATAAAACAAACCTTATTTAGTTCTCAATTCTGTTGAACCTTATTTGGTTTAGGTTTTGTGGAACAATTCACAGCCTGCATTTAAATTTCAACCTATAGGTGAAGTTATCATAGGAAATTATTAAACTGAAAAGAGTGTTAAGAAGTAATACTATTCACTGAGCACAATAAATAGTATGTAGTCTCATACCTTCTATTTATAAGGGCCATGCCTTTTTCCCCTACAAGTATGCTCAGTTCCGTTTGTTACTTCACAAACTACAACTTTTGCAATTTTAAGTTCTGCTCTGTCTATGTCTAGAGGTGGATGCTGGTTAAAAGTAGATAATAAAAAGAAATAAGTTACATAGTTGTTAAAGTTTTCTATGTAACAGAAACCGGTAAAGATTCTTTAAAATTCAACCCAATAGAGGATGAGAAATAGGACTTTAAAAAGGAGGACAGGTTGCCAACAATGCAGGCCAGTGTTAGGTTTAAAGCCTGGGGTCAGGGTACACACACATGCTAAGGATCCAGAGCCACATGGGTACGAAGATAGCAACAGAGGAAGACAGGTAACTTTGAGTGCTGCTGGTGGATTTTCCCAAAATATCCTTCTTGCTGTCTTCACTTAAAAATATTCATAAAAGATTAAGTTTTGTTTTGAATTTTATTTCTAATTGAAATAATGGTAATGCAATTTACTCTTTTATAGGAAAATAGTCTGAAAATATTCAATTAAAGTTTACATAAATCAAAACTTATGAAAATGAGACAGAGAAATTGTATTCTTAAGAAATTAATTTGTTAATTTCCTTTCAATTATAGTTCTGATTTTATAGTTTATTGCTTTTTAGGGAGAAAGAATAAAAACAGAGATTTTTGGTGGACATACCCAAAGTAAATAGGATGAATTATTTAAATTGCTTTGTTGATGAACACATTTAAGGAAATTTTATAAGCTCAAATAGATCTACTAAAACTTTTGACTATGTAGGTTTTTGTCTTTCCACTTCACCAAAGCGTTTGTAAACATCTAGGATACTGTAGGCTTTTGCTTCCTCCTTATGAGTTTCTGTAGAAGTGTTAACATTATCACAGTCCTACCTTTGATGGTATAAACTGGCTGTCCATGTGGTATAATCCTGACAAATACAAGTAAGATAACATAAAGATTCATGAGTTAATGAATAGAGAATGAAGAAAAATGAAGTCCTGTAGCATAGAATTTCAGGATTGTTTACAGAGTAGCAGAAGTTTCGTAGTTATCTGATGATGCTACAAGATCAGCTGCAGTTTTCTTCCCTTCTTGATAAGCGTACCATGCTGGAGAGTATAGAAATTCAGAAGTCTAGCCATATTTGTAAGTTAAGTAGAACTGAAGAGGATGTGAGTTCTGATTTCTGGTTTGCAGATTTGTACTTTGGATACAGTTCACTATTTAACAAGGTACTTGTCTAGCATGCTACACAATGGGATATTTCATTAAGTAACAACTTGGATAAAAATAAAAATTTATTAGATTTTTCCTCCTAAAGTGATTTTGTTCTTACAATCAAATTTATTTCAATAGCATTCATTGCTCTAGATATTCAGTATTTTAACAAAATGAACAGAAGTCTGAAACAAAAAGTATAAATTCCAGTTTCTTAACTAAGTTTCATTTGCATTCTGGGATCATTGAGCATTCCAGTGTTCTTACAGATCTGTTTAAAAATTAATTTAGGTAAGAAAGATTTTATTTTTCTTATCTTTTTAATACCATACTCACAAATTGCACCCAAGACCTGGCCCAAATTTCTTTCATTTATTGCCTTTTATATGGTCTAGGCACTCTGGGTAGTCTGAAAAGCTTATCATTCAAATCAGTGAAAGTCTGTATTTGATCCTGGGAGCACCTATTGGTCTTAGAGATTTAGATTTACTTTAGTTGCCTTTCCAAGAAAATCTTCTTGTTATATATTGACATGTATAGAAGGTAGACAGAATGTGGTATGTAGTGGTGAGACATGGAGTCTGCACAGTTGTTTTGTTTCAGGATAATATACTGCTACTTCAGAATAGCAGTACTATCTATCATGGATAGTCAACAAAGAAATGTTTTGCAAAATAAGATGTGATGTATTTGGCAAGCCTGTATCTGTCCTTTCTTTTATAAAGCAATGTTAGTAAGGCTGTAGTGATGTAAGAAGAGCAGGTGCATTTCTCTCATATACTGATCTTACACTGATTTAATTTAATTTGGAGATATAATATTCTGCAAATACTGTTTTACATAAAGTCCCAGGTGATGCAAGACGTATTCTGTACCAATTATCAGTGTCTACTGAGGTAATACTCTGTAATCACACTTAAATTGTTACACATTTAGAATTTCTCTGATGTAGATTATACTGCTAAGTAAGGCGTAAGAAGGTAACAATACTAGTCCTCAGACATGACAGACTAATGTTACATGTTTTTGTTAAAAGCACAAATCTATACAGGGCAAGTCAGTTGTGTTTTGTTTATGCATTAAGTTTATCATTCGTGCATTTGTCATTGTGTATTGTCTTAGATTTGAGGATACAAAAATCAAATATTGGAAGACTTACATTTTAACTGGTTTTATTGATGGTGTCATCTCTGTGAATCATACAGGTACCTGCTAGTTTTATCACTTTTGATGAAAATAAGTACAAAGATTTTGATAAGTGATCTCTGAAGCAAGATATCAATTTATTTTAATTTTCTTTTTCTGCTAGGCTCCGTAAGGATTATTTGTTACATAACTGCTGTGGAAAATGTAGACTCTAAAGAGCCTGTTATATTAAAGTTGATTCAAAATGTAGGTAAAACATTACTTTGACAAAGCCTAATCTATCAAATTATATTCCTTTTTTTTCTATTTTATAGTCAGTAAGTACAGTTTTTGTTTGAGCCAGGAATACTAAAGCAGAAAGTGTAAAAATTTAAAATACAGAAACAGTGTAGTATATTGAGTGCAAATATACTGACAATGAACAGTTTCTGTTGCTTACACTGAGGCAAAGTATGAAATTGGAAACCAGTGAAAATCAAAACACTATAAAATCTTTCTATTATGATGTATTATGTTTAATTTAGTAGTAAAGTACATGTGCTGTTCTGAAGATACCTTTAAGACTGCTTCTGCCCTTTCAGCTTTGTTTGTTTCTTTCCCATTCATTTTCTTTTTCCCATATATTGCATCATTTTGCCCCTGTATGACAACACAGTCCTTTCTGTGGCAACAAGAAACATCACAAGGTATTTTCAGGTCATCTCTTATTGAACAGTGAATGGGAACATCAAGTAGAAAAAAACTCTTAAGCATGCATACATACAGGAAGGAATCTGAAGGATTTCAAAGAAACTCTCCATAATACTTGGTTTTCATGGTGAACTTCAAAATGCATAAAGTTGAAATATTATTACTATTAAAATAATTGATTTCTTCTT